TTTCGAAATCACCCTGTAGCCACACTAATATTGGAGGGCGACGTAAGACCATCAAAAATGGGACGTACTGTAGAGTGTGTCCATTTTTCGTGGGCCATATTTCAGATATTATTAGAGTTATAGCGATGCGATTTTCGTTAAACAGAAGTTGCCGTTTTCAAAAAAAATATAGCTGGTTATGTGTCTGAGATGCAGAGTAAAACAGAAAACTTAGCCATTTAGATTACCGTTTGTATTTCATAATCGTTCATAAATAAGAATTAAAAAAACATGGCTCATGAAATTATTAAAAGATGTATAGATTGTTCCATAAAAAAGTTTAGATACATCAAGTAAAGTTACGTGTGTCTGACTATTTTCAAAATTACCCATGTGCGTGGTTAGCTTTTTTATGAAACCGTCAATAATGAGACACACTGCACATAACCCTGCATATATATTAGTATAAGTTGGGCAAAAAGTATTATTTGAAACTTATTAGAAACCTAGGCGTTTCCATGACAGTAATCATTAAAAAAAAAAGATTTTTTTATTACAGCAACTAAAATCGTTTACCAGTGGCATCGTCAAACCACGTCACACGTGCGACCAAGTGGCACCACTTAGTGGCGTCACAGAAAATCGGAGAATGAAAATTTTTGAAAAATTACTAAAATTTCGAAAGGCTAATATTACATTTAAAATTAGCATACCACCATTTTTGAGGGTGGAAATTTTGAATTTGGTATTAGTTTTAACATTTAATAAACCAACATAGCTTTCTCACAAGTAATGACTAATTACTATGTTTGGACTTCATTCTAGCAATTCGATAGCGATATCTCACCCCTTATCAATATATGAAAAACGTGCATTTTACAAAGTGTGGCAGGAATGTCGCGATGACGAGCATTATTTAGCCGGTAATTATTTCCTTTATACTGACATCTGCCACCATGTTTATTAAATATTTTTTCTAATTTTGAGTTAGCGAAGATTTTAGCAATATACTGAGACCTTTTTATACTTGATTTTATGAGAATATATCTCATAAGATGTTGCAGAATTTAATGCATAATAAAGATACTGGCTACGATTTCCAGGACTAGTCCTGTAGTAGCTAGTAGTATGAGCAAGGCAAATCTAAAGCTAAACTGACCAAGACACGTGTCCCATCATTGGAGTATCGGAAATTGTCACTGGGTTGTTAAAAAATGTACTGTTATGTTTTTAAAAAATAAAATAAAAAAGTCACTATTTACACTTCAGTATTCACTATTCACAGTACCAATAATTTTCTCGCTCTGGATTCATTTTTCTGAGTGGACAGTGAGCGGCGCTTCGTTTCGATTCCCGCCTACGTTCTGTTCTTCTCTTTCTGCTCTTTCATCACAATGCGTTCTTTAGCGCCGATCAGTTTCTACTTTAACAATACTAATTACAATTACTCCTTATCACAAAGTACATTGTGCAACAAGTATCGAAAAATACTCTTTGCAAAGGAGGATGAGAAAAAATGTATAAAAAGAATATAGCTGGTTTTGTGTCTGAGATGCAGAGTAAAACAGAAAATTTTGCCATTTATATTTACCCTTTGTATTTCAGCAGTAGCAGAAAAAATTTGAATTTGTAAGATTGGAACATATTATTAACGGTTTGAATGTAAACAGGATAAAGTAAACTTAAAAAATATATATATTTTTTGTCTTTTTTCCTCTTCTTAACATTAGTGTGTATTTAAGTAAATAATAGACAATCAGCGGTCAAATTGTAGGAGACTTTTGCAGAACGATGGAAGGCGTATTTAAATTACATGCTTACAATTAAAGTCTCTAATTCTCTTTAATTCGATACCAGATTGCGATCCAGGGCTGGCGAGTACCTTCAGTGAATTTAGTGATACTTTTACCAACAGTGTGCCTCTCTCAGAACCGAATGAACATACTATTCAGTGATATGGTTCTAACAAAATGTTTGACTTAATATCCGAACTATTTTTCCATGAAGTCACCAAAGAGGAGGTTGAGAAACTTACGTTTATATATATATATATATATATATATATATATATATATATATATATATATATATATATATATATATATATATATATATATATATATATATATATATATATATATATATATATATATATATATATATATATATATATATATATATATATATATATATATATATATATATATATATATATATATATATATATATATATATATATATATATATATATATATATATATATATATATATATATATATATATTAGTGTTCGAAGTGTTTTCGGAGCGCGAGCATTGAAGATGCCAAGTGAGATTTTGGCGAAACGTCTGCAGGATTCCAGTCGGATGCAAGATTTGCAGGATTCCAGTCGGATGCAGGATTCCAGTCGGAGTTCAACGAGCGAACGGATGATATCCCGGAATATAGTGTCATCATATATATATATATATATATATATATATATATATATATATATATATATATATATATATATATATATATATATATATATATATATATATATATATATATATATATATATATATATATATATAATTTAATGATGTTGATCCGGATCACGTCTCACTTAAGATGATAACTTATGTTGTTTCAAGCAAAATTAACCCCAATTTAACAGGTCGTTATTGCTGCCACTCAATCAAGATTTCGACAGCAACTTATAACAACACATGTCTGATGATATATATAAAACCAGTGTCCAGGGATTAAATACCTGCCTTGTATTATTGAAGCACAGTAAAGCATTTTGACCTGCTGGATTGCAGACTGCTGACGTCAAAGCTAGGGTATTTGTGTCTTGCACCGGGTTCAGAATAATATTAATAAAGATTTAAATGCTATAGAAAAATTCTCACTTATGCACGGGCTAAAATACAGCTGATGATATTTGGCAAGGATCGTAATATTTAATTTAAATATGTTGTTAAACAATGTGACTTCGCAGATCACTGAATGGGCAAAAAAATTAGGACTTCTATTTGACACGAGGATAAGGTTCCCAAAGCATGTAGCAGTGCTGGTGCAAGACTACTTCAGTAAAGATGTCAGACTGAAACTGTGCGACTTACTTATCCTCTCAACTCTGGGTTATTGTGCCTTAATGTATTGGACTGTCCATCATATTAAAGAAAAAGCGAGTCTTCAGAATCTTCAAAATTCTAGTTTAAGGTTTAGTTGTGGCGTTCGAAAGTTTGATCACATATCGCAATGCAATTGGTCACTCATTTCCGAAACTGATAAAAGATTCAAAATTCACACAAAAAATGTTATTCGTGAAGATCATTATTATTCCTACGCATTAAACTCCACTTGTTCAGCGTTAATTTATCCACAATGCTGTAACCATTTACAACACCCTACCACACCAGATTAAAATGCCCGCCACGTTATCCTTAACACTTGAATATTTTCAATATTAGAGCTAGAGTACGAATTGTTCAATTTTTTGTTACATAGTTATGGGCTTGGCATTGCATTGATTTTAATAGTCATCTTTTCTTCTCTCATTTAACTGTATTGTGCTTTTACGTATTTTGCTCGAATGTTTCATATAACATATATAGGTGGCTAGATAGAGTAGCGTTCTAAACTTATCTATCGTGTATAAAGTTGAAGTGGTTTTGGATATTCAACAAGGAAATTTCTATTTAAGAGGTTTGAATTCTTTCCTTCTCTTAAACTATTTTTTATTTTTCAATAAAATTAAATGCTACTAATAATGATGTGGGAATCGCAAAATGAAATACGCTCAATGTCCTTGCCAGTTTTGAAATTGGTTAGGTAATATATTTCTTCTACTCCCGTCTGTAAAATATCTAATTACCCACCGATCTAGCGTGCGGGAAGCGTCACTTTACCACGTCAGTTTCGTTTCCCATGAATCCGAGACACTTCGGACATTTCCGGGATTTTACCGCACGGATTTGGAATTTTGACGTTTTTCAATTTTGACGGTCATGTCAGTGAATGTATTCGTGTTGTTTTGCGAAAATGTAACCAAAAACTAACGATCGTAGAAAAAGTATAGTATGCAACACGTTCGGTAAACTTTTTAACTTACTCGTTTATTAAACACTCGCTCCGCTGAGCTCCGCTCGTGTCAAATAAACTCGTGAGTCAAATGCCGTTTACCGCACTTGTTGCATGCTGTTAGCTTTTTCAGTGCACTGAGTGAAACTCTACACACCTTAAAAACCTATGGGCCTACGCGGTGAACAGAAAGCATGCCTTTAATAGTTTGATTGATGACTGAACAATAAATGGAAGAAAAGTAAGGTATTTGGAGCATTATCACACTGAAAATTTAATCTAGCAGTTCGAAATTTTCAAAAAATCTCATAAAATATATAGAAACGGATGCTTACTCTCCAGAAACATAAGCTAGTACCTACTGTAAAATACCCGATTATGCACTGATCAAGCGTGAGAAAAGTTTCATTTTAATCATTCTGGGCTTTTTCGGTGCGTTATTTAAGGGTTTGAGAAGGATCGGATGTTTTTGGTGGATTTTAAACATCACGTCACCTCACAGGTCACTTAGTGAATGTGTTTATGGTGTTTTGCGAAAATGTACGCAAAACCTAATTGTCATAGAAAAAGTATAATGTACAACACGTTGATGAATTTTTGAAATGGCGTTTATCAGACTTTTTATATAATATACTATTAAAATAACAACAGTTCATCAAAATGGTGGACAATTGCAAGACAAGGCGCACGGGAATAGCTGAACACATTTCCGTTTTCTTTTTCTGCTCTGGCATTGCAAATTTCCACAAGTAATGTACTAAGTGGATTCCCCGCAATCAATTCATAAATTGAACATGCAAAGTTCAGTCAAGTGTGGCAATTAAATATTAAACTTTACAAAAATATTGGCGCGGATCCTGTGACTTTGGATCCGCTGCGTATTTGCTGACGCCGACTACACTTCAACAAAGTTTTCATATAGTTATCGACTTTGAATATCGTAACCAAACTCTGATAAGTGTTTAGATAGCTATACTCAATTTAATAGATTATTAAAAAACAGTTGAACTGGCGTCAGTTTTTTCTCTCACCGACGGAAAGTAAGCGCGATCCGTAGATACATGTTGTTAAAAATTAGTGTCCTCGTTTTCGGACTTTACGTTATATACGCGAGGTCCGATATCGATTTTGTAGATTGCGGTAAGTTCCTGTTAAAAACTAAAAACTTTTTAAATAAAATTTTTGTTTCTCGACAGTTTTATTTCTACCTTAAATGGCTTCAAAATTGGAAAGGGAAAATGGAATTTGTTAAATAGTTTACACACAGATACACTCTAAGAAAGATTAAACCAACGATTTTGCTAATTCGTTGACGAAATGAGGTGTACCACACAAAGTAGAAATTCCCCGAAAAATTCGCCATATAGAAATGTAAATTTATTAACTTAATATGTGTAACATTTTTGCCAGTTTTAAGTTCAAAATATACTTATAATAAATTATGGTGTAATAAATTCCAAAACCCTTAGGTTAAGAGTCTACTCATGCACCGTAATATTTTAAGGTATAGTAACAGTTTTTTCCCCTTCGGTCTTCAGCAATTTTAAAGATGTACAGCTTTAATTTAATAAAAATTACTTGCAAAAAGAAATATTAATCAATAACATTTTGATATACTTATGAGAAAGGTAAACCGCATAGTTGTGCTTCTCACAGTCAGCAACTAGCGAATTCCTAAGCAGAACTGTTCAAATTGTATTGCTTCGACAAATCGTTTAATCATTGAGATCAAATCAAGTTCTTCTCAATGATCAATATAAGATATTGTTAAAGTCGTACTTATTGCTAAATTTAGTTAGCGAATATTTGTTGGAAGGAGATGAAACTAATAAATCGACGTTTTACTACGTCATCTTCAGGCACCACAATGGATATATGTTAACTATTATAATTGCAAAAGTTTAAATAGAAAGATTGTTTTTAAATTAAATTAAGAGGCGATGAACTACATAAATGCCATTTTTCTAATCCCGTCTGTAAAATGCCTAATTACACACCGATGTAGCTTGCGGAAAGCCTCACTTTACCACTTCAGTTTCGTTTCCCATGGATCCGAGCCACTTCGGACATTTCTGGGATTTTACCGCACGGATTTGTGAACAATCGGATGTTTTCGGAGATATTTCCCACGCTTTGAATTTTGACGTTTGTCAATTCTGACGGTCATGTCAGTGAATGTATTCGTGCTGTTTTGCGAAAATATACCCAAAAACTAATTGTCGTAGGGCAACACGTTCGGTAACCTTTTTAAGTCACTCGTTTATTAAAGACTCGCTCCGCTCCCGTCAAATAAACTCGTGAGTCAAATGCCGTTTACCGCACTGGTTGCATAATATACAACTTTAAGCAAATGTAACGCAATAGCTCTGCACAATAACGAATTACTTAATCAGGTATATGTTATCGAAAAAATCAAATGGAGACTGAAGCAGTGCATTTTATGTATAAACGTCTATTATGACACTATTAGCAAGAGTATCGTCAATTAAAGCACATAGCTTCTAAAAATATTCAACGAAGAGATAAAAGGAAGCGTGTTTTTGTTTTAATTTTCACTATGAGCTTTTGAATACAGGGTTCATAAAAGGTCAATTATTATTATTAAATAGAAAAAGTCATTTGGATAGTAAATTGATTAAATTTTTGATGGGGTTGCTGAGACTATACAATCAAACCATGGTATTTTGTAGACAACATGGCTAATTGCTTTTGAAGTATTTGATTTAGAAAAATGTTTAGTTAGAAAACACTGCTTCACATTTAAAGGCAATGTTTGTTTTCATCGGTTAACACTTTTACCACTCGCTACTTGTAGTAAAACTCGATGTTGACAGATTCGCAAAACCACCATGTTAATTTTATGTCTACATGTTGACACAAAAAAGCGAATAATATTGGTAGTAACTTATAAGGAAAAACATAGTTAGTAAGCAGACTTAGTAACTCATATTATCTCTAAAAAACTGCACTACACACTTTTCCAACTTCTTTTCACTTGAAATACACCGGTAACGGTCCGCTTTGATGTACGCTCATTTTAAAATGCACATACAAAAACGTACACTCAAAAAGAACAACGCACATTTCAAAGCAAGCTACTGCTGCTAATGCTAATTTTTTGAGAAAATGTTTTGCTATGGCGAAAAATTTAATTTTACTTTTTTACTCTGTACAACGCAACTAGCACAACCTTCTGAACTGAGGTTTCGTCAAACAAATTGGCATCATCAGCAGATGTAAACAGTTTATGTCTTATTTATCTTACCTGGTGGTTTACTAACCTTTCATCAGTTCTGTCATACAGTAGGTTAGTTGCATCTGTAGTTACGAATAACGCAAATTATCATTAAAAATGCTTAAAGAAGACTCCAACTACATTCTAAGTATTACTCCACACCTTTCTAAAATAAAATTCGCCTCAAAATACTTAAATAATGCTGATTGCTTAGTTTTGGTTATTTATTTATTTTTGAAAAATTTTATTTTTCATTGTCAACGAATGATATTTCGTTGGTTTGAATACGTCAAATTTGAAGCGTCAGTTAATGCTAAACTCTAAAATGTAATACAGAAAAATTCCCATATAATGTGATCTTTTATAGATGTGTTTGTGTTAAACATATAAAAATTTTTAGTTAGATCTACAAAAAACTAACTATTGTTAACTAAAAAAGTGAATGAAGATATAAAATTAAAAAGAAATCTCTCATTTTAAATCTATGCCCATAGAGTTTCGAAAAATACTTCATTTGTGTATATCACTAACCAAAATTTTCCAAATATGGCTAAGAGTAAAATATATTTTCAAATTAACATTTTCAAATGAACTTAAAGATGGTGGAGGTTTTTTTATCTTTTTTTTTTGGGTTCAGATTTTATCACCGTACTTTAGTAAAAACTCTCGAAAGTTGTAAGGATGGCTAAATATAGTTCTGCCAGATTGTCGCCTTCTATGGCATTTACTTATTACATTTATTCTAATTTTCCCTTTATTTTTGCTTCACAGATTACTGTGTAATTTATTTTCTCGGCTCTATAATATTTGCTCATGCTTGAAATATTAAATGTATAACCTTGCTATATATAAATAACTCATGATTATATTAACTAATCGATTTATCTATTTACAAATAGATTGATTCGCTTGGCGATTTAAATACCAGCGTGGAATATTTATGTGCCGAATAAATTCGTTTCTTGATTCAGTTATTTCTCCATTTTGGATCATTTGACCTATAATCATCGCAGTCTTTTATGAGCATATATTTTGGAGAACCGTATAGGAAAAGAGATCTTTTATAAGTTTGAAAAACAATTTGTAGGGTAAATAGAAATTACGATTCTAGCCCTACTTTGGCTTGTCTAATGCAATGACATAAGTTTTAAAAGTAGTTCGTCTCTCAAAGTGGAGTAGTAAACTCAACAGAAAAGAAAGAACCTTGACCTGTACACCATCTTAATATAAAATATATTTTTTGAAACCGTCAACTGTGAAATGAGTAAAAACGCGGAAGAGGTAAATGGATAGTGGCATTGAAATTTACCTGGGTTCAAAACATTAAATATTTATTTAAATATATTAAGTTAGAGGAATTTGTTTCGACAATTACAGATACTTGATTGATTTTGATTGCTTGTATCGTCGCTAGAGGGTTTTTTGCGACATCACTACAAAAAAAAATCTCAAAAAAATGAAATGCAAGGATATCAATTTTATTGCAACAAAAATTAGCCAAATAAGAGTCTAACACGCTAGTGAAAACACCGCGTTGCGTCTTAATGCAGGATACTCCAACGTATAGAAACAGAAACAGGTGCTTTCCCATGTTTTAAAAATAACACGATGTGTCGGCAATTTTGACGTTTGGCTTCTGCAGAGCTTAATTAAAACTGGTTTGCGTTTGCATTGCATTCCACCATGTACTTGCTTATATACTGTTTTGAGGGAGTCGGAAATAAAGGAGAGACCTAAACATTGTCTCCGATGATTGATCCCCATATTGGTTAAAGATGGAAAGGAAGACTTTATTCGTGATTAAGATTGTTTGGTTATTAAGAGATTTGTCTGGATTATCGGATTTTTCTGTAGTAGAATTCTTCGCCACATATGCATGGAATGCATTGAATGAAGGGCACGAAACAGTTTTAAGGCTAGGACAAATAAACAGCAAATATTCAATACATCAACTGATGTTTCTTTGAAAAATTAAAATATCCTGTTTTTTGTCTGTGTCTGACTATTGAACGAAGGTATTCTCTTGTCAGGTGGACAAGTGAAAATATGTGGTACTATATATTATCGGGTCTGTATTTTATAAACAACGTACTAAATTTCGCGGTGCACCGAATTATTCTTTGAAGTATGCGCACAACCGCGGGTAACAGAAAACCACTTTTTTGAAATCATGTAAGACATTTTGGACTTTTATTTGTTATATGCACGATGCGAAGTTTATAAAAAGAACACAGTCGCAAATGAATAGGAGCAATGAATCCATTTTTAATTTGCAATTGTTTTGCCTAATAGGTCGCAAAAGTCTATCGATTTTTATAAAATCTGAAAAATAGTGGAAATTGCTATTCCTATTTTCAATTTGCTAATTACCTGCCTATATAATTTTTGATTTCGTTGAAACAAACATGACTCAGCTACCTACTATTTCACGTTTAGGTTATGGAACAGCAGTTGAAGAAGTGCTCATCGAAAATTGTACATTGTCTCCATGTGTAGTGCACATAGGCGAAGCGATAGGAATAAAAATGATTCTTGACAAAGGTAAATAAATTTAGTACCGAGATTCATATTTAAACGAACTTTTTCCAGTTCCCGTATTGGATGAGTTACATGTAGGTTCCTATGTGACGATATTTGGCCAGAAATTCTATGAGGTCAACGTGTTCACTACGAAGCCATGTATAGTCGAATGTCCGCTTAGTCAAGAGCTGCGCAATGCGAGTTTCGATGTAGCCGTTGTGTTTGGAACTAATCTCGTACGGGTAAGTATTAAAAATTAAAATTTTGTTTTTAAATTCGTAATTTCACTTTGTTTGAAGAGCAGTAGTGGTTTTCCTCTTTTAATTGTAATTTTATTATGTTTTCTCATTGTTTCGGCAAAAATATTATCCATTACATTTTCCACACTAAGCACATTCAAATGCAAAAAAAAAACGTTAGAAACTAATATTTTATTGAACTTTAGGACAATTAAAAAAGAACGAAATGTGTAGATTTAACTTGTTCGTAATTTCTTGATTTTTAGAGGAGTATAATTATCTATTACAGCATCACTTACGTGAAGAAACTCTAATTTTCAAAAGTCTTTGTTTATCCGGAAGTTAGGTCAAATAAACAAACTTCACTTCTGTATATTAGTGTAATAATTTACTTCTTCAACGCAAAAAACAAAAAAATTAGGGTAAAGCTTTGTGTCCGACGACAAGTTTTAGGCTTTCATCGTAAACGACATGATTCAGATAATAATTTAGAAACTCTATTACTATTTACTGATGCGATTACAATACAACTGCTAGTATACTAATTGACCAATCGCTATTACCAAAAAACTATGGAGACCCAAACCCAGACAGGTTAGTGTCTAGCTCTTTTGTTCTTCCGACGACGATTTTTTAATTTATCTGGTTGGTATTGAATTTGTTGTGCTACTAATTAAAAAATTGGCTTGGTTCTACAATAGCGTATTATAAGTGGAAAATTCTATATTCCCTTAATTTTTGGAACTGCCTCAATTTCAACAAGGCCTTAGAGTTTGATTTTCTTATAAATTTGTTGTTGTGGTAAACAGAGGTTCGATGGAAATCATTAGTTATCATAGTGGTTTGAAACTGTGCTAACCTTCTATAGGAGGGGCTTGGACGCCCGCGAGGGCGCCCCTCTTTAATACCAATACCAATACTGTGTTTTCCTGACAGAATGAAAATCATCATAATGTCTTAGTCTAGTTTGAAATGTTTGAGAAAAGACTAATTCAGTAATAATTTTGTCTTAGGAGTATACTAAACTATCAATAATGTTTAAATCGAAAATCTTTTTTTCTACTCCCGTCTGTAAAATACCTAATTATGCACCGATGTAGCGTGCGGGAAGCGTCACTTTACCACGTCAGTTTCGTTTCCGAGCCAATTCGGACATTTCCGGGATTTTACCGCACGGGTTTGGGAGCAATCGGATGTTTTCGGAGATATTTCCCCCGCTTTGAATTTTGTCAATTCGGACAGTCATGTCAGTCATGTGAATGTATGCGTGTTGTTATGCGAAAATGTACCAAAAAACTAACTGTCGTAGAAAAAGTATAGTATGCGACACGTTCGGTAAACTTTTTAACTCACTCGTTTATTAAACACTCACTCCGTTCGTGTGAAATAAACTCGTGAGTTAAATGCCGGTTTCCGCACTTGTTGCATAATATACTATTTTATTCCTAATTTCAGAGACCTGCAATCCTGATCATTAACACAACTTACGTTAGCGACGGAAAAGAGGAACGGGGACTTTGCATCGAATTTGAAGTGGACATATTCTGACTGTATGTAAAATTGTGACAATAAGTAAATTTATATAAGAAATTTGCCGTATGTTACATTGTATAAGTGAAAGACTGTTTTTGTATTTTTTTTGTACTACTTATATGTCAAATTATACGATTAATCATAAATTTTTTGTTTAGGTATAATATATAACCGCATTTGAAATGAAACTTCGACTAATGTATCATACATTTACTTTTACATTTCGCTAACAATTTGGATTTAGCCTACGTAAAATATCACATGATTTTCCCAATTAACAAAAAAAAAACGAACGGGGTGACTTAGTCAGCTCAAAATCCATCTTATTATCTCAAGTCAAATATCTACAGGACCCGTTAAAATGGGACTATCCAATAACTTATATGTCATATACCGAGTGAATGATGGTCGAGGATAGGTTAGACGATTTCTGAGGGCCCAAAATAGATAAAACTTTGGTCCTTAGATTTTCAAGTCTGCTGTATCGAACTGTATTCTAACAATAATATATGACAACATCGCTTTTTCAAATTGCATACATCTTTAGATTAACTGCTTTCATCTGCTTATTATTAATGCCGATACTTATAGCGAGCTAGTGTTGTTTTCGAAATATTGGTTATTTTCCTTTTTTTCAGATACAAAACATTAACTTAACTGTCATTTAAATCCACAGAAAGCTAAAATTTCGGTTCAAAGTTGCGAAAGGTTAGACTTATCTAGAGCAATTTGATCCATTGTATGCAGGATTGTTTAAAATTAATGATCCTGACATAGCACACTAAAATGGTCAAAAACTTTATTTGTCCAAATAGGCACCGCGTATGTTATCGTCATCTTTTCTTGTTCCGTCTTTTCATAATTAAAAAAAGTTGTTGGTCTACATGATTCTTGTTAAGATCGTTTCATTGGTAATGTGCTGGCTCCACGATATTCTAAGCACATTTCAAAAGCTTCCAATTGTGGCATTGAATGGACTCCCAGCGCTCCGGATAGATGTATTGAGTAAACATAAGCTGGCACAAATCTGTCTCTGAAATTCACAAGTTTTGTAGTACTTTCTAAAATATTTGGAGAGAGTATGCAATAATTGGGTACGCTGCTGGTTAATTTATCTACTATTGTCAATTACTATGGATGGTTTGTTCCCAACATAAATTTGTAATTACATTGATGTCACATTGGTTGACAATCCAGCAAATTTATCAGCTCTGTACGATTTACTGCGTCGAAAGCTTTTTCATAGTCGATAAAACATTTTGTGATTGGTCTCTACATTTTTGAAACAATACATTAAGCTCAACAGCGAATCAATAGTTCCATGGACCAAACGAAAACCAAATTGTTTTCCATATCGACCACATTTTGTGTCTATACTCTTTTTCATTTTTGATGAATCTTTTTATGATCTATCGTTAATATTAAAATTGTTTTTACAATTTTAAAGTGTTTTCGTAATGTAAATATTGAAAATGGCAAATGATGAAAAAAAACGAAATCCAGAAGATTTTTAAATAGTATGCCAAATTCAAATCTTAGCGAAATGTCTGCGAGTTTTAATCGGTATTCAATAAGCGGACCGATGATATTTTGAAACAATTTCAAACAATGATCACAAAATTCAATGAAAGCAATTATTGTTAAACAATATGGTAATATGATTTGTAAAATTATCGAAATTATCCCGAAAATGTAACTTCTTAGGTATACCATTATTCTACATTATTTTATAGGAAATCTTTAAATTTTAAATAATATACAGGGTCTCATTTTTGCCAAAATAATACTGTGACCATTTTGCGTACTATATCAGCATCATTAATTTTAAACAACCCTGTATATCGTGAAATAAATATATCTAGATGAATATAGTATATGGTGCTTTCGCAAACTGCAAAATTCCCGCATTCATTGAAAAATTGGCAGGTAAGTTAAAGTTTTGCCGAAAAAAAAATATTTCGAAAATCGCCAGGTTCAAAATTCCAAGTATTGGAATTGTTAAAAAGAATCTTTTTGCATTTCGAAAGCTTCCAACCTACCATCGATATCAAGAAATCGTTCCTGTTGTAGAATTTTTAGATTATAACATGGTTTAAAAATCGAAAATATCTAACAAATTCGAAATAAAAATTAACTACCAAATTTTTCAGAAATGGCCGTTATGTCACCATCTTGTAAAATGAGTGCTAATCTTTTTACACCTAAACCATATTATGTACAACATGTTCGCTACTTGGATTCACAGTATATAAAAATTATTTACAACAACTATTATAACAACAATATTTTACACAGTTAGACAGTATTTCTTTGTAACACACATAACGATCCTGGTGAGAGTTTATTAATACGTTTGAAAAATGAAAACATCTACTAACAAAACTAACCAAAACTAACCAAAACTAACCAAAACATCTACGTATTGCCCACAGTATTGGAAAATATATTTTAAGTCAAATATTATTTTGTTTAAAAATAAAAGAAAAATCTAAAATGTGTAATGCCGGTGAAGACTGTTAATTTGCTAGATGGTACATTATAAATAAATCGTATATTAAATGGGGTGTTAACTATTTGCTCAGCATACGGTAGTAACCTCTAATCAATCTTTGTTTCACCTGTAATAACTTAACTATATTTTGTTTGCGGTAAGAAAACACACTAATTGCAAATTTTATATTGCTAGGAACTTAAAGGATCCTTGCAGCAGTAGCATCCAATCTCCGTGAAAGATAAGGATAAGAAAACAAAATTTTTGAATTTGATATTCTTATAGAAAGCAACTTAAACTTAGTTAAATAAAATTTTTATCATACTTTGCTGCTTTTAGGTAAAAAAATGATTTTTCAAGTTGGCACTCTTCACCGACGATGTTAGTCTAAAGAATGCAAACTAATCTTAAAATGACAAATCCAAAATCCCCTCCCGATATTGTATTGGTTTCAGTTTACTAAATAATAGCAATAAATCGATGTACACTTGGATTGGTGACTCATATAATACTCGGCAAAATTGGTAGTGTAGTGTAGACCACCGATTTACCTTGCAAATTTGATATGTTCTATCGATCTACTAAAGGTTGTAAATACGTCCTAATATGGGGATTGACAATGTGACATCATATACCGCTTTAATTACAGATACCGCAAAAATACTGATATTTACAAATATATATATATAGATTAACGTCAGTCTAAAATTACAATGTCCAAATTACCATACAGGATACGGCTTATGGCGAGACTGCAAGGAAGAACATCGTGAACTGTTACATACATATGTCTTCGGGATATGTTTTTGTTAGAAACGTTAAAAATAAATTATTACTCCGTTCCAAATTGTTTAGAATAGATTTAGAAAGGAAATTTATTTTCAATAATAATATTTCATACTGCTTCAGCATCAAAAATAAGTTTTTGCAATTACCTACTTATGATCTTTCAACGTCATAGTTGGGTGATGAATTTCTGATACTGCTATAATTTTTTAATTTTTTTTACTAATATTTACAACTCTTCTTTATTCTTCCTTCTCAGAGTTTAACTGCAACCATTTCAGTTTAAGACCTTAATAGAAACTGTTCCAGTTAAGCTCTGAAGAAGCCAACCGGATGATTGGCGAAATGTCAGCAACTAGCCGACGCAGGAGGAATCCAGAAGATTTGGAAAAAGTAAGCAATAATCATAAAAATTGTGAAACAATCCTGTATAGTAGGTCGCTGAAATCATCGTCAAGGGGAAGGAGAAAATTAAGAGAACCAGCAGTCAACGACTAAAGTCTCAAGTGTTCTAGCATAAAGCTCAGTATTCACCTGAAGACGATTGAAGATCTTGACCAGTTGAAATGTTGTGCAAATAAATAATAAAGACAATGGAAGTATAAATATTTATGTAATGCTCAATTGTCCTTTTTTTGCCATGTTTTGTCGTCACCTTCCCGGCAAATGCCATTTTTTACAATCCGAAAATCTTTTACTTGGAATATTTCGATATCAGTATTTTTTTTTCGAATAAGTAACAACAGAGTAGTTTGTTTTTTGAAGAAAATAACGATTTATTCATTAACATTTTTAATGACATAAGGAAATAAACCCAAATATTATGACAAAGGTTTTCAGTTGGAGTAATCGACAGAGATGTTGAGATCAATGTAAACAGCATTTTTGATATAAAGGACATAAGTCTAATATATGATTTTTTTTTGCAGGCGTCAGACAGACATAAATGTAATGGTAGTAGTAGTACAGTTTTCAGAAAAAGTCATATGTTGATTTTTTTATTTTCAAGCAAAATTATATCGTAGTAAAGTTTTTGGGAATACTCGGTTCTAAAATAAATGATCGTAAGTCGGTTATAATCAAAAATGTGTGTGTACTCTAGTCATTTACCTTCCTAAATAATTTGTTATGAAAGTTGAACTTAAGGCATGCCTAAAATTAGCTTTGGTTGAAAGTCTCGGTACTAAACGACTAGCTTCCACAATTTGCGTAACACTAAACAAATAAATGCCAGTTTGAATTTCACGCAACCTTTTCGCCGGTTCTATATCTTCTAGCCTTCACAAATTTCCTATTGGACGGTACTTACAGCAAAATTCATAACACGTTCTCATTCGATATGCACTATTTATCTAAAATAGGTAATATAACCACATTTATACTTAGACGCAGCTCTCTGGAAGTCGACTAGCCATTAACCTCTCCTTAATGGCATTCCCGTTTAATTCAAGATCTGAGACACGGGATACTGTCGAATGACCATTACTCAGCTGAAGATCCTTTGGCCTGGAATCCCGTGGGAAAGTACCGATCATTGTCACTGGATTACTATATTGGTGGTACTGCAATGAAGGATTTATCGCAGCCACAGATATAAAATTAATTCGACGGTTACCTGATTCACCTGTTCCATCAGCAGCGATGCGGATGGCGGTACCATATGGAGCGGTGCTCTATCCATGGGGTAAGTTGGAGAGTCGTCGCCGCTGCTGCACTGGGTCAAGTGGGACCCATTTAAGTTTTTAATATCACCTTCTAAATCCGACGATCCTTTTATGTAGACAAAAGAAAAGTTAGCGCTACTGGTGTCCGAAAATAAGTTATGTTAGAGTCCAATAAAAATGGTTTATTATTATTGTTTTTTATTGAACAAAAAGTGAATCAAGTAATCCTGTCTACCATAGGATTTAAAACACCGAATCTAAAAACTACTTACAAACATTGAACTTGCACATCTCAGTTAAAAAGAGACTTTTTTTAATAGGTAAATACTGGTTATGTGCTTTATGCTCTAACTTCTATGCTAATGGATATATAAAATTATTTTTTGCTAAATTTTGGATTTTCCGACCTTTTTTTTGACCAAAAACGTGTCCTATGAACACATATCCTAGTATTAAACCATTTTTGTGAAAAATGAACAAAAAGAGCTCAATTCATTGATCTCGAGCCTGGTGGGTAGGGGGGGGAGGGGGGGTCAGTGAAGATGTGAGGGGCATAATGGAACGAAAGGTCCGAATGCAGCACCCTTGACACACCGCAGATTGAATAGGAATAGTATTCTTACAAATAAAATCTACAACAAACAAATTTTAATGAATCGGCTAACCGATGTGAAGTTGTCGCCCGCGTTCCTCGCCGAGCGATTCCCCTCTACTCCTACTCCAACCACTAGCTCCGCCCGACGGCTGGCGTGCCTGCCGCTTACGTCCTAGACGCGCGGCCTGGCAACGCGCATTCACCATTTTATATGTGTATATGTTCTAAAATATAGACATTATCGCTGCACAAATATAAAATATTCTTCAGATTCATATTCAGATAAGAATATTACATTTTTAATGTTATTTCTTTGTAGCATATTTCAAAAATATACGTTGGCTTACATCCAATATTTTTTTAGAAAATGTTTTTCAAAAAATAGAAAATATTTTTTTTAGATAGGTTCCGTTCTATGTGCAGCGATTGCGTTGATACCACTAACGGATCATCACAAGAAGGCTATTTCATCAAAATTTGAAAAAACGTATTTTGGGGAAACACAATTTATTTTTTTTGGAAAAGTTCCGGCTATGTGCAGTAATTGTGTTGATACCACTAACGTATAATTATAAGAGGGATTTTTCGTCAAAATTTGAATGAATCAACTTGAAGATTAGGGGTTGAAATAAGCAAAAACCGAATTTTGAGGAAACCGAAATTATTTTTTTTACATACGTTCCGGTCTATTTGCAGTAACTATGGTGATACCACTAACGTATAATCACAAAAAGGATTTTTCGTCACAATTAGAATAAAGCAACTTGGGGATTAGGGGTTGAAATAGGCAAAAAAACTATTTTGGGGAAACACAATATATTTTTTTTAGATACGTTCCGGTCTATGTGCAGCGATTGTGTTGATACCGCTAACCACAAGAGATATTTCGTCAAAATGGAGCGATTATGTCTATATTTTAGAACATATATACCGCTTTTCTATAAAAGGGTGAATGACCGTCGCTAGGCCGCGCGTCTATGACGTAAGCGGGAGGTAGCCATGGGCGGAGTTAGTGGTTGGAGTAGGGGTAGAGGGGAATCGCTCGGGGAGGAACGCGGGCGACAACTTCACACCGGTAATCGGCTAAACCCTTTTGTCATTTGAAAAACTGAACACTAAATTACTTTTGTATTGACGAGACATAATCATTATTAATGGGTAACTTGCCCTGAATTACATTAACATCCACTGATACATACGTTGTTAAAGTGCCTGGTGTTAGATCTTGGATGAAACTTACCAATAAATGCTCGATACTTTAAGATAATGAAAACTAAAATGCCTTTTCGTCTTTATAGCAAGATTGTTTTTAATACATCAATGTACGTGGGAATGTACGTGGAAAACTTACACTTAGCTGTTTGTATTAGCTCTTAATCAGTCCAACTCAGATAAAGAGATAAAAAATCAATTGCTGCGATCCGATCAGTAAATAAAAAAGTCTTACAGCATATGTACCCTTTTCCTTTCCTTCTCCTCTGTTGTTTCGTTCAGAAGTTAAATAACTAATAAATAATTAATAATAGCAAACTTTTTGTATATAAAACTCATTGTAAAATTAATATATGGAATATCTGGGTGGCTGGGTGGTATAATTTAGATAGTTGTAACGCTAAATGTATTATTATTACTCTTAATTTAACTTACCGTATTTGACAGGGATTATATCGGGATCTCTTTCGTCCATTTCTCTTGGTGATGCACTTCTTAGCAGCGGTTTGGTGGAAGACAGTGTGTTACAATGTGCCGGAATACCTGACGTCTTTTCTTCGAGGACCAGGTGTTGATCTTCTTTGGCTTTACGAATACGCAAGACCACGATTATGATTACTACGACTACAGTCAAAACTGCACCGATCAAAACGCCCAATATTGGAGAGACCCCGATATCGCCATCCGATGCTAAAACAAACATTATATCTAAATGAGAACCGACAAACCATTAATACATATATCAGCAACGAATAAAATTATTGAAGATGTCGTGATATTGTCAAATTCAAACTCGAGAAGACTGACAAAATAACACCCAATAAGGGCAGAAAGAATAGTAGCAATAGTAGTCCAAGAAGAGCAAGACAATTAAAGACGAACAAACATCCAAGAGGCAATAAAAAATAGTATCGAAGTTAGCTTTTTGATTTTTATAAGACATTAATCGATATAGCAAATCAAAATAAAATGACGCTGTCATGGATTAAAAAATTCGCCATCATGGATTGAAAAAAAATCTCGGTAATAATGGTGAGACGGGATAATAAACAACTAATTAGAGAGGATGATATTTCACAATTTCTTGTAGAACAACGTACTTAGGTTAGCCAAAACAGAATCAGGAAAGGCTAAATATAGGAGTGTTTGAAATGGATTCCAAAAATAAAGTTTGACATGAGGAGCACGTTCATTATATGTAGCAGGGATATGGCAGAGAAGAGAGCAAGGCTAAGTAAGAAGGGTTGCATGAAAAATGCTTTAAGTTAGTAGTTGCCTGAGAAACTGCGGGAAGTATTAGAGCAGAAAGGAACAATTTGCGTCGGGCGGCGGCGGGGGGGTGGGGGGGTGAAGTCCATGGCAGCATATGTTGAGAGAGTATCAGGAACTGAAAGAAAAAGAAGACATAGGAGTTATGGTGTTATGAAGTAAGTGCTGAATGGAAGGGGAGAGAACTTAGTTAGCTAAAAAAATAAAAACAGAGGGCTTGAATGATGATGAATTATTTTTTTTAAACTTTTTTTAGAGAGTATTTGTATAAACAAGGGACAATTTTTTATTTAAGAAAATAAACAATAACAAATCAACAACAATAGAATACAATAAAATAATAAATTTCATCACCACCGTGATAGCTAACTATGAGTTAAATTCTAAAACTGTTTCGAATAAACGAGTATTATATCAAGTGACCCCTAAATATGATAAAATTATAAAAATTTACTTTTAGGGACTATCTCATTCAAATATTTAATGATTTAAAGGTTAAAAAGAAATCAAAAATAAATATATAGTAAAGGCTTTCAATTGGAGAAAGAAAAATGTGTCAGAAACGTCAAAGGAATATCCAAAAATATCCCCAGAATTTTTTAAGGAATTTCAAAGGTCTTTAGAAGCAGATAAGGTGGTATCCCATAAAATGTTGCAAAAGTGATATTATCTATCTATACATTCAATCTTTTGTCAAATAGTACTATAAAATAACTAAAGAAAAAGTCACTTTAAAGACGAGGCTTAAAAATCGCATTCAAACTCGATCGTGAAACAAAAATTTCGCGCCCAATTTTCACTGATTGGACCGATCATTACCATTTACGACAACTATTTTTCAACGTAATAAAGCGCCTTTTTAGCCTTCTCGAATTAAATGTAAATCAGCCACGAAATATCCAGTTAAATCAATTACAATGACACCCTCGTAAATTTCTTTTACGTCGAAAAAGCGTATTCCGGGAGACGATTATTGGTTGCACTTCATTTAAATCCCAAATCGAATTTCGGCGGCGTTGCCGGACTGATGCTTACAAAAATGTGTGCTTAGAAGGAAATAATGAATCACTATGGGGTTTCTTTGGTATCGCACTTATGTAAGTAAATAGACTACGATATGTGAAATTTTCTGATAGTAGAATCCAGTGGTTTTGGTGTTGGTTTCAGTTAAGAAATGCAGCCTTCCACTCGTGCATACACAAACTCATTATTAAAGTGTAGTTTATAAAAATTTTTTCATTATATACTAATTATCGTTCACTTGATTGTCAAGGAAACCATAATTAAAAAAATCTCCAGAAATTTTATTTGTCCAAATCTAACAGTTATCAACCACTAATAATTTTTAACAAACAATTTTATATAAAGTATTGTAGAATACGTAAGAAAGTACATGATCACTAATTCAAATCTAATTTCAGTTATTCTTTTTTGTATTAATTGTATAGATAACCTCACTCATGTGTTAAATGTAATACAAATTAAATCAAAATAAACGACACTTTAGTTATGAGTAGGTTTTGGTACTAGCCAAGCTCAATGGAGCGAGTGTTTAATAAACGACTGACTGAAGAAATTTTGCATACTATAGTGTTTATTCTTTGGGTTGATATTTGTAATGTGCGAATACATTTCTTAAATGGCGTCTGACGTGACCATAACACGTGAAAACAAAATCTATCGAAAGTATCGGAAACGCTCAAATTGACAGTTTTTAACGAAAGCTGATATTAATGAAAGTAAAATTCTATTAATAAACAAAGAATCCATAAAAATTAGAACCAAACTCATTATAAAAGATCTGACGTCCCCAAATAGTAGGTTTCATTACCATACGTAAAAGGCGAATCACAAAATATTCAGTTCAATGTTTTCAAAATATTAATATTATCGCACACACATTCTTTACTTTAACTAAACAATATTCACTATTCATAATTTATAAAACTAATCGCATAGGTTCCCAATTTACTTGCATATATCAATTAAATTAATTAAATCAAATTAAACAATATTTGCATAAAAGGATTTATAAATATGATTATGATATAAGAAATCAAAATTAGAACTCCGCTGCTTTAAGTAAACATTCTATGGATAACTTACACCATTTTGACTTTCAAAATACGAAACTAATAGGGGGCTCCAGCAAGCAGGGGCGTCCTCAGGAAGGCCCCCTCCAAGGGCGATCCGAACAGGATCCCCAGGTCGCCAGCGGGGTGGAGGGCTCGGTAAAAACCGGGAACACCACCTCGATGACATACCGCCCCAGACATAGGAGTGGGGCGGAAAAAAGGAGGGCGAAGAAGAAGAGACTCGCGGTGACGGTTTCGGAACCGCAGGCTCTCTTCCGGCGCCCAGGAATCCTGCCACGTCGTCAACGGAGGGCTCCATAGGGGGCACACCGGAAACGGCAGGCGGGAAGCGGAAAAGAAAAATGGGAGAGACCACCCAGGTTGGGGCACCTGCCGGGGGTCGCCGGCCGACACGCGGCCCGGCGAAAGCTAGGCCCGGGAAAGGCGGGCCGTCCCGGGGGGGCTCTGAGAAGGGGGCTCGGTCCTATGCACAAGCGGCGGCGGGGGGGCCTGAACTGGTGGTGGGCCTCAGAGGACAGGAAACTAACCTGTCTTCCGAGGACCTGCTGCGGTTCATAGGGTCTCTTAACCTCCGCATAAGCATGTATATCATGCAGGGGGGGCAATACACCCCTCCCCGGATACGCTCGGTTAGGCTGTGGAGGAGCCACATCCTGATCGAGATAATGGATGAAGAAACCAGGGAGTGGGTTCGCAGGGAGCTGATTAACGTCAGGCCCTGGGGGCTCGCAAACCTGGTGGAGGTCGATCCGGAAGGATTGAGACTGAGAAGGGCGGCGATATGGATTCCGGGCCTGGGGGCGGGTGTCTCGAATGAGGCACTAGTCCGCTGCCTGGCAGCTCAGAATGGCCTAGATTGCCGTGCCTGGAGGGTCTGGCAGAGGACGGAGGCACACAAGGTTGGTGGTGGGCGTGAACGAGAAATCGGCAAGCGCCATCACGGCTAAGGGTTCACTTCTCTTCTGCCTGGCGACACAGGTAAAAGTGAACCTGCCGGCGCCGAGGCCGCAGGGGGATGAGGTGGCCGCGGTGGGCTCACACGAGGAGGGCTCGTCCATGGAGGTTTACGGGCCTGTCAGAGAGGCGGCGCCCACGGCTTCTGTGGAGGAGACCTCCGGAGGGCCCTCCGAGGAAGCGAGAACCGAGGAGGTATCTCGGATGGAAGTTGACCGGGGAATCCCATCAGGGTCCACCAGTCAGGAAGCGGAAGCGGAGGGAGGTGCTATCTCGGGCTCGGATTCGGGCTGAGGCTAGCATCGTGACCCGCAGGTGGTATTCCCGCAAAAACATCTTCACGGGGATATTACAGATTAACCTGCAACACAGCAGGGCTGCAACGGCCCACTTATGCAGGAAAATTTCGGAGGGCGGTACATCTATTGTACTGATCCAAGAGCCCTGGATTGTAAAATCAAGGGTTAGGGGCTTATCTCTGGGAGGATCGATGCTGCATAGTGTCGACTCCTTAGAGGGCGGTCCCAGGGCCTGTATTTTAACCATGGGGCTGGAGGTCTTTTTCCTAAGGGACAAGGCGTCCAGGGACCTGGTTCCAATTCTGGTCAGATCCCCCACTCGGGACGGCGTGAGGGAGGTAGTGGTCGCCTCTGCGTACTTTCCAGGCGACCGCAGCAGTCCTCCGCAGGAGATCAGTGACTTGGTCTCCTACTGCGAGGAGGCGAATCTTCCTCTTTTGATTGGCTGTGACAGCAATGCTCACCACGTTTTGTGGGGTAGCGCGGCAACGAATAGAGGGGGGGGAGACCTCGTGGAGTTCATGGCCTCTGCAGGGCTGCAGGTGGCCAACAGAGGGGTAGAACCCACGTTTTTCACGACGGGTCGGAACTCGGTCATAGATTTAACACTTTGTACCAGGGCTCTGCTCCCGGAAATAACTGGGTGGTGTGTCTGTGGGGAGGACTCTATGTCGGACCATAGGGTTGGAGATGGGTGTTCGGGAACCCGTTAGATTTAGGAACCTCCGGGCAACAAACTGGGAACTCTATAGAGAGGAACTCGCTTGGCGCCTAGGGGGCTTACCAAGGAAACACCGCACAATGGAGGAGATTGACGAGGTCGCCGACCGAGTCAGCTCCGCTATGATGCGGGCGTTCGAGAATAGTTGCCCTGAGACAGAGGAGCATAGGGCGGGAAGGACTCCTTGATGGAGCTCTTCCCTGGAGCGTCTCAGGAGGAAAGTGCGGAGGCTGTTCAATACAGCGAGGAGCAGCAGCCAAGGTGCGGACTATAGGGAGGTCCGCAGTCAGTACAAAAAAGAACTACGGACATCACAGAGGAGGGCCTGGAGGGGCTACTGCGACGGAGTAATGAATACCCCGGACGCGGCTAGGCTCCTTAGGGTACTCAGAAGTGACCCTGCGGGAAGACTGGGGGTGGTCCGCAGGACCGGCGGTGGCTACACAGCGGGACCAGCGGACACACTACAACAGTTGCTGAACACGCACTTCCCAGGGTCCGCTGATTCGGACACAGGGGGGAATATTGAAGCCGGGGGTCGTCTTGGATGCGACTACGCCACGGCAAGGAGGGTGGTTACCCATAATAGGCTGAGGTGGGCTATTGACAGCTTTGGCCCCTTCAAGTCGGCGGGCGGGGATGGAGTATTTCCGGCTCTGCTGCAAAGGGACGGGGGTCTCCTGACCACCCCGCTGATGGACCTGTTCAGGGCCTCCATTGCGAGGGGGTACGTGCCCGAGCTGTGGAGACACAGCAGGGTAGTGTTCATTCCCAAGGTAGGGAAGAGTGACTACACGGACCCGAAGTCGTACCGGCCTGTTTGCCTCACCAGCTTCATTATGAAGACTCTGGAGAGACTGGTGGACCGGTATCTGAGGGACTGGGTGGAGCTGGAGGCCCCTTTAGAGCCAGCTCAGCATGCGTACCGAAGTGGCGGGTCTGTGGGCTCAGCTCTTCACCATCTGACTTCCAGGTTGGAGGAGGGTATGCGCTCGGGACGGCTGTCGGTGTGCGTGTTCGCTGACATCGAAGGGGCTTTCAATAACACGGCCCTGTAATCGATCTGCAGGGCGGTGGAGAGTACTGGAGTGGGAACGGCCATTGTAAGGTGGATCCGCTCCATGCTAACCGACAGGAGGCAAGACTGGGTGGGGAGCAGGTCTCCATTGGTTCATCACGGGGTTGTCCACAGGGCGGGGTCTTGTCTCCGTTCCTGTGGTGCCTGGTGGTGAACGAGATATTGCATATTCTGAGGGAAGAACACGGGGTCTATGCTCAGGCATATGCAGACGACCTTGTGATAATGACGCAGGGGACGGACGTGAGGAGGATGCAGGGGCTCCTGAACGGGGCATTGGCAAGATTCTCACAATGGTGCCTGGACAGCAAGTTGGCTGTCAATCCTGGCAAGATGGAGATGGTCATCTTCACTAGGAAAAGGAAGATGGAGTGCAACCTCAACATTTAGATGGATGGGGTGCCTCTTTCTGCAAGCGGAAGTGTCAAGTACTTAGGCGTATGGTTGGACTCTAAGTTGACCTTCCAGGAACATATAAGATCAAGGACCAGGTCGGCCTTTGGAGCTCTGTGGGCGTGCCGGAGAGCGGTAGGGGGCACTTGGGGCCTGGGGCCGAAGATCATGCAGTGGATCTACGGTATCATGGTGGTGCCTATGCGCACGCATGGGGCAGTGGCATGGTGGCCGGGGACCAAAAGAGCGGGAGCAAGGCTAGTTCTTGACAGACTGCAGAGATTGGCTTGCCTCTGCATAATGGGCGCCATGAGAACGGCGCCCACGAGGGCCCTGGAGGCTCTGGTGGGGCTGCCCTCTCTGGCGGATCGGGTGCAGATGGAGGCGGCCAGGACAGCTGTGAGGCTGGCGAGCTGCGGGTTCTGGAGGGAGGGAACCTTCAATCGGGGTCCGTACGACATTTTAGAGGGCTGTCGCGGGGATCGCGGGGTCATGGGCATGCCGAGTGACGTCATGATCCCCGAGATGACCTTCTTTGATAAATTGACCTTTCTCTTTCCATCAAGGGAAGATTGGAGAGAGGGCAGAGTCGGCTCCTGGGATGGACTTGTCTGGTACACGGACGGGTCCAGAATGGGAGATCTGGCCGGAGCTGGAGCGTACTGCGAGACAACGGGATCAAGCTTGTCGGTCCCTCTGGGTCAGTACTGCACTGTGTTTCAGGCGGAAATTTTCGCTTTATTGATGGCGGCCAGAGAGGTGCTTCGGCTCAACTACGGAAACAGGAGAGTCTTCTTCTGCTCGGATAGTAGGGCTGCACTCATGGCGCTGAAGTCAGTGCGTACGCGCTCCTTGTTGATAAAGGAGTGCAAAGGGGCACTGAGGAGGGTGGCTGAGGAGAGAAAGGTCACGTTGGTCTGGGTCCCGGGTCACACCGGTATCCGGGGCAATGAGGCAGCGGACGCCTTAGCCAGGGAGGGCTCCTCGCATAGGCATATAGGGCCAGAGCCCCGCTTGGGGATCGCCCCGTGTGTGAGGCGGGGAGCTCTCGAAGCCTGAGCGAGAGACCGGGCCGCGGGGGGCTGGAGAGTTGCTCCGGGAATGAGGCAGGCGAGGCTTATGATGGATGGGCCCGCCCTTCGTCGGACCAGGGAGCTGCTTAGACTGACCAGAAGGGAGTGTAGACCACTAACAGGGGCCTACACAGGACATTGCAGGCTTAGGAGGCATCTTTGCTTGCTAGGTATTGGAGACGACCCGGAGTGTACTTGGTGCATGGAAGGGGAGGAGACCCCGTATCATCTGGTCACCGAGTGCCCTGCCTTGACATGGACAAAATTGGGAGTCTTCGGAACGGCCCTGATCGATCCGGACTCAGTGCACGGTATTGGGCTAAAGAAGTTGCTGACCTTCTACAGGAGGGGCGGCATTCGGGACGCCCTCTAGAGCGGCCTGGGGGCACAACGGGCCCATCTGGTGGCCTAAGTGCTTGGACGCCCGCGAGGGCGCCCCCCTTTAATACCAATACCAATACGAAACTAATAGTCACAGATCTTACAAAAATGAACATTCCAATCAATATTGTCAACAATCAACTTGTCAAAAATGTATTATAATCTAATAACCTAGTTGCTGGATTTGTACGATTTGCCCTACCGTGATTGGCCGAAACGTTCAAAAGATGTTTTTAGAACTATTTTAATTTTTTATTTAACATTTATTTTTCACTCGTCGCTACTGTAACGATAAGGTGTTTTGGTAATCTCTGTCAACGTCGCATGCCTAATGCTAAGTGAATAATATTTAACTCATTTTCGCAACCTAAGCTCAAGCAGAGATGCAAAATAATATGCAATCCCTTTGTTTTATACTATACGTTTCACCGTGTGCTTTCAAAACCGGAACTCTCTCAATACTAGCAAATCAGGAGGTATCAAATGCACCCTTATTCGATATCTAAAGAAGCGAAATCATTTTAGTCCAAGCTAATATAAAATATAGGAATGGAAAAAGATCGAAAGCCTTTCTTAAATATTTGACGTTTCACCTTGCGAGTTTTATAAAATCCCACGTCTTTGATTATTTAGATTTCCTTACGTATTTGTTTCAGTTTTGCTGCAAGGCGTGAACGCTAAGTTGAAGAAATTGGGTCGATCTTTTCTAATCCGGCTTTAGAATATATTTTTCCGACCCGAGAGACGTGCATGCAAAATGTCTACTTTCCGCATGTATCTGGGCGTTTGTTATCGGCAAAATCGCGTTTTATTTTATTTGGTTTTGTTCGCATTTGAATATTTCCGGGAATTTTCAGAAGTAACGGCTAATATTGTGAGACATTTTTATAACATTGGCATCTGATAATTTACTTTCTATCTGCATATCTATTATTAGTTATTCGTGGTTCAATGTTACACCTTTTCATTTTTCTAAAACTACTCCGGATTTGGAGAAAGCCTCCTACCCATTTTAATACTTTTTTTCTTATCAAGGCAACAAGATTGATAAACAACATTTTAGTCACGAATTTGTTTTGTTTAGTTTAGCTTAATAAACGAGAGACTGAAGAAGTTTATCAACGTGTTGCATACTATCCCTTTTCTGGAACCTCTAGTTTTTAGTTACATTTTTCCAAGATAGCACTGAGTTATGTGTAACGTGACCATCAGAATTGAAAAAAGTTAAAATACCTTTCTGATCGCTGACAGGTAGGTAGGTACAATGGAAAACGTCACAAAGTATATAAACGAGTTTTTCTGTCAATAAAAGTATATTATGCAGCAACTGTTGATGTAAATAAGTGTTACTATGCGGTTTTGATGAAGTTAATATAGTCCGTTTCTGCACAGTGTTGACTGTTATTTCAAAATACTGTCAGTAATACTGATCGTATAATAATAATATTAATCGTATAATAATAATAATAATAATAAACACAAGAATAATGAAAATGCTGGTGTGAGGTGACGTGAAAAAGCCTGAGAAAAGATTGCCAGTAATTCTCATCGTATGAAGACCGGTTAGTTCAGAAAAGTGCAACTTTGAGGTTTCTATGGTTCGATTGAAGAAAGAAATATTAGCATTACGTCATCAAGGACCATTGAACGACGAAAGTATCACTAGTACCATATGTGACCAGATCGGCACCACATAATGCTATAGAATATAAATCTGCTAGAATAATAATATAAACGGCTGCCTACCAGTACGTTTTTCCGCATCTCTAAACGTAAGCTCCTCCAAGACTACCCCGTTGCTTCTTCCTTTGGAGTTAACGGCGAATACGACAATTCTAAATGTAACGTCTGGTTCCAGGTTTTCTAGAAAAAAGTACGGCTCGGAGACGGATGTAATGTTGAACCTGGGCGTATTGGAGTTTATGGTGTACAGCTCCAAAATGAAGTGCTGGGGTAAGCCGCCGTCGAAGCCTTGCAAACAGAATACTTCGACAGAGTTACTTGTTTGGTTGGTAAGGGTGCAGTTCTTTAATGGAAATGGCTTTCCTAAAAAAATAAATGGATTTACATTAATTTAATCGTTTAATGTTTATATTCATTTGGGTCTTAATCCACATCACTTACAGTTAGACTAATACTTGCACTGATGAAGTTATATGAACTTATAAGTTTCTTTCAATTAAACGACTTTTACTCCATAATCTATCTAGCCGAAATCCTTAAGGTCTACTTTCATACGTGTACAAATAGTTAACAAAAATATTTTGTTTTATACCACGGGCATTTGTGACCACTAAAGCTAGTGTAAAAAGCACATTTTACTTAAGTGTTTTCTTTTATATTTTCTTTGGGTAATAATCTTCGTAATGTTTAGCACGTTGCTTTTTGAGAATTTTATATATAGTTTCGCTAGTTGCTGCTTTGATGAACATTTAAAATCGAAAAATGTACATACAGGGTGTTTCAAAACGGACATAACAGCATAAAAAAATAAATAATATCATATGAATGCTGTGTTTCCAAGATAGGAGATGTTTAAAATTAGTTAAAAAAGAAAACGGCTATTTTCTGACTCGGCGAGCGGACGTTTTTTCCACACGCTTCATCCGTGCAAGTTCAATTGAATAACAACCAACGCAGAAGGAATCCGGAAGTTTTGTAAACAGTGATAGAGGAATAATAGCCGTATCAAAAAAGAATGTTTTAGTGGAGGAAAATCCTAATGTTGCGGATAGATTAGATGTGGGACTATAGATTTATTAGCTCTGTATATTTTTTGATAGTATATTATACAATAACGACATTTGAGGCAGGTGTGGACAGAGTGTCTTAATAAATGAGTGACTGATACTGGATACTAACGCTTGAGTAATAATAACTTGAATTGCAATTAGACGTTCGCGTATTCAACAAAACCATATAAGCAGTAATTAACTACAACAGGTAAATTGCTTAGATTTGCCTTTGATACCCAATAAACTAAGAGTTCCGTTGATCAGACATTTTTTAAATTTTAAATTCAATTAATTAAGATTCATTTTATTACTGTTCTGGTGTACATTTTTGCCACGTATTCCTTAAATATTACTTTTCATCCATATCTTGTAGTTTGAGGTAAGGATAGGTAGTTTTTATAAAGTTTCTGTATATTCGAGCGATGGATATCCAAGACAAATCAAACCGATGTGCAAATAAACAATACAATACGAATATTTATTAAATATTTTAAAAATTTGCTCAATACCAGCTGCAACGATTTGGAAGATACATGGATTTATCTGTTGCCCAACTGCGTTGGATGCCCAACAGGATAAGGACCCATAGTCCATCTCCGTGATGGGAGTATAACGGAGAATGCTCACTGTTCCGTTGCTAGTTTTGGAGAATCGGTCTGAATCGACGTCCAATGTTTCGCCAGAATTGTTAAATTTCCACTTGTAGTTCTGAAAATGGAAAAGTACAAAATATATATTTATATCAATACAAAAAAAAAACAGAAAATTTCTGAAACATTTCCCATATCAAAGTCTATCTAAAGATGCGTTTGTTAATAAACATTCTTGTTGTAATGACACGAATAAACTGAAAATTCAAAATTTGATTTATTTTCAGAAAACGATCAGAAACGCTTTTTGGCCACTTCCGTTAGGGGACTTTGCCAAACTTAAAATAAACCTGGTAATTAGTTAACTTAGAAAATATTTTCACCCCACACACAAAGTGTTCTTTCAAAGTTTAATAATAATTGGGCTTCCCGCCCATGTTAACGTGAAGTATTTTAAAGAAAGTTTTGGATGTACATCGATATACAAATGGCCGCAATCTAAATTTTGCCCTTTGGGGATATGTAAAGCTATTGGTGTATCTGGTGTCTCATTAAGAATAGGTCTCTGCTGTATCTCGGCAAGTATTAATTGTGTGGCGAAATTATAACAACCGCTGACGGGCGCAACTTCTCGTGCTAATAAGAAAATGCGATTTTTATAATATTTCAAACATGGAAAAGGTATTAGAAATAATGACATGATATTCCTCATGTTTTTTTTTTGTTTCTATTTAAATGTTAATCACTCCGTATTTCGCATAACGAAAACTCTACGTTCATCTTGGACACAATAAGAATTTATCGACTGGTTGACCACCAATAAATACAGCATTTGAATTCTAGAAACCGCCGCGCCGTGCGCTGGTCTTCAGCGAAAAGGTTTTGAAAAAACTAATTACTTAATTACTTACTTTGGCCGGAGGATCCGATTCGATTTCACACAACGCGTCGATGCTTTCACCGCGAGATGCTCCGAGCACCAAAACTTTGTCAAATCTACATGTCGGAGCGTCTGAAAACCAAAAAAAAAAATTGAATTGGACATCCCATGTGAAGTAAAGAATAACTAAATAAAAATAAGAGTAACTCACATTGCACCCTAAAATGAAGTTCGTCGCTGACTGTTTCGCCCTCGGAATTAACAGCAGAGCACCGATAAATACCGGCACTTTGCCTGTTCACTTTTTGCAGTACGAGGCTTTGGTTACTATGGATGATTCGGCTGGACATGTTGTGATGCAAGAGGATGCCCTAGAAAATAAAACCGTCTATGATTGCTCCACAGGTGTTGATTCTTTGTGCAATAATTATTAGTAATTGAGTTAAAAAATTGTTAAAGTTCATCTAGATTTAGTATCAAGTTTACTGATTTATTTATTGAGTTTACAACCATGAAATAATGCAGTTGAACGTGTTCCTATATTCGCCGGCTTAAAGCTGTTGTCTGCTTTTTGTTTATTTATATAAATGGGAGAGTGGATTATTCTCCTCAGTTAATTACTTTACTCTTAACGATATAATTATTACTGAAATAATTAACATATTTTTAACTGATGATCAAGAAACATTTTATTAAACTTTTTCTATTACATAACTTGAAAAAAAGCCACACAAATTCATACACCCAGAAAGTAAAACAATTTAAGTCTTCCGTAACGTTTTCAAACAAATTTATTGGTCAGAAAGGAGTAGTATGTTTTTTAAATTTATTTAATCAATATTTGTTTTTTTTTTTAATATATATATATATATATATATATATATATATATATATATATATATATATATATATATATATATATATATATATATATATATATATATATATATATATATATATATATATATATATATATATATATATATATATATATATATATATATATGATGACACTATATTCCGGGATATCATCCGTTCGCTCGTTGAACTCCGACTGGAATCCTGCATCCGACTGGAATCCTGCAAATCCTGCATCCGACTGGAATCCTGCAGACGTTTCGCCAAAATCTCACTTGGCATTGGTGTGTGTGTGTGTGTGTGTGTGGGGGGGTGGGTGTGTGGGGGTGGGTGTGTGGGGGTGGGTGTGTGGGTGTGTGTGTGTGTGTGTGTGGGGGTGGGTGTGCGTGCGTGCGTGTGTGTGTGTGTGTGTGTGTGTGTGTGTGTGGGGGGGGGTGGGTGTGGGTGTGGGTGTGTGTGTGTGTGTGTGTGTGTGTGTGTGTGGGTGTGTGTGTGTGTTTGTGGGTGTGTGTGTGTGTGTGTGGGTGTGTGTGTGTGTGTGTGTGACCGTCTCGTGTATATTTTCTTCAATTTCTCTTCGGTATTCGGTCTCTCGAAAATAAATAATGTGATTCTTTTAAATATTTATGAACGTTTCGAACGTAATTTCTTTTTCAAAATGTTCTTATTTTGTATAGGTGGCATGTGTAACAATTGATGACATTTGACGTTGTGTTAATATATTACAAATTAATAATATCTTTAGTAAACGTACCAACAAATTTTATAACAACGTAAATAAAAACCAACGTCAAAATCCTTAAAGCAAATATATATCGATACCATATATGGATTATCAGTAGAACACCAAAAGTTATAATTAAAAAAAAAAAACTCAAAGCAAAAATTCCAGTTCAAAAAAGAAGTAATGTAGTATATGAAATTCCACGCACTAATTGCGACAGTGTGTATATAGTACAAACAAGCCAATATTTAATAAATAAAATCAACGGACATAAGTATGACAAAAAAAATAAAACAGCTTTTCATACGGCAACACCAAACACACATTTAATTTTTAAAAAGTCCTACTAACAGAACCTAACACCAAAAAAAGAGAACTTTAGGAAAGTATAGAAATCCAAAAAAACAAAAAATCAATTAATTACAAAACTTATTCTGAAGGCCACTACAAAATATATCATTCAATTTTAAACTAACAAAATTAAATTATCCAATATTATTTACTAATAGAAAAAAAATCATAACCTGCTTTGCATGCCATTCCAATCCGTATAAAATATTCGCCTGCAAATTATGTTTATTTTTCAATTGTTATATATGTCACCTATACAAAAAAAGAATATTTTGAAAAAGATAGAAGAATGACGTTACTTGTTTTCGAGACTAATACTAATATCTTATATTACGTCTATTTATATCAGTTCACTCTTTATATTTGCGCGCTGCACGGTCTCACGTTTGGACTCTGACTGCTCAATTACGCTTTTTTAGAACGCAGCGCCTGTTCGCGATAGGTGTGGAACATTCGAGCCGTCTTCCCAAGAAGGAGCGTTTGTGATCTTGCTCCGATTCCTGTGTAGGCCTCAGTTCTTGGAACGCCAACGGGTCCGGGCCGAGCTCAGCCGACCCGGCTTACTCGTCACAGTGTCTAATAGAGATGTACAATCTTTTGACGACAACGTAACGAAAATAATATGAAAGAGTTTTTCGATTATAGTCTATTGCAAAGTATATTGTCTTGGCTTTTGAGATCAATTATTGAAATAACATGACGGCGGCCAGAAAATATGTAACTAGCCTGTATTGTGGGACAAAGCTCCAGAGATGTACTTTTAAGGTATTTTAAAATTATAAAGATTGAATATTATATTCTATAAAATATAATTACGTAAAAAAGTTTTTTTTTATCTGACAGTTTTTAACCATCCTGTCGTGTGTATATGACCAAATTTCATCGAGGTGAATTATAGATCTGTTTTCGAATCTATACCTTTTAATTTCCTGAAGCTGCGCAACCACTCTTGTCTATTTGGAGGTCTAAAATTGTTAAAAAAATTGTGCTGCGTCAATAGTTCCCTCTAGCATCCCAATATGAACGAAATCCAAGACAGTTCAAGAAAATTAGTCTTCCGATCGTTTTTCGTGAAATGTGTCTCTGATGAAGTCCGGTCTCGCCCGCAATTAGTTTGCCGAAAATGGAATAGAGTCGTTTCGTTCGCCGTTTGTATGTGACAGGAGAAGATATCGCTGGCAAAATAATAAAGTTGCTCGAATGTAAGAAATAATTTTTAAAATCTTTCTCTGTATAAGTATAGCAATATTCCCTTTTTGTATTGAAGGCTTTCTCGGTGCTCGATATTGTTTTTTTTTTATTTATATGGAATAAATAAGTTGTGAACATCACTGAATTGCACCTTTCTTGCAACTAAGAGACAAATAAGGTTGCATAGTTTTGTACAATTTAATGCCTTCTTCAGGCCTGCAAAACACAGGAACATTGGACTTTTAAATTCGGTCGCAGAACGGATTATTTCTATTATTTCTATCTGAATCTTCTTTAGGATAATCCTGCACTGCAATGTTTTGTTTTTCACGTTAGTTTTCAAGATTTCCTCTGTCCCTTTTTTTAACAAAAGCAGCGTCATACTGCCTTTCCATTATTCTTTTATTAAACAATTTTCTTATTTCTTGTGTTGAACAGTTTCCGCCATGCTTTAGCAATTCGCTGGAGTATTTCTGTTTTTCATTTTTTTAATTGAATTTTTAACTTCATTGGGCGATATGTTCATTTTCTTGTATTCATCTGATCCTATCACGATAGGTAAATATTCCGGAGCGGAAGTAAGCCGCTTTTCTTTTCCGTAACACGTTTTGTTACCCGTATAGATCCGACTCAGATAGGTCTTTTAAGAGCTGCTCCCAATGACGTTTCTATTTTTTTTAAATATTCTTTTAGTATAGTCACTTCATAAATGAAATAATAATAATAGTAATAACAAAATATTGATATAATATTGAAAGTCCGAAGTTTTTATTGATATAATATGAAAGACTACACCTTTAACACATTTGAGATGAATACAATATAACCCCAGCGACTTGAGCAATTACAATCAAGAGAGTTAATCAGTATTATCATTCGCTAAAAAAGTGCTTCGTATGTCAGCGTATAATAGACATTTAAAAAAGCGGTCATTGTCATGATAGAATATACAAATCCTTTATGATGGAATACGTGCTGATAGATGAATTGGAGGTCCGTCAAAGTTGAAATTTTTAGAAACAGCTAAAAACGAGATTTCATTAAATTGTCGGTCGCAGAACGGATTATTTCTATCATTTCTATCTGAATCTTCTATAGGATAATCCTGCACTGCAATGTTTTGTTTTTCACGTTAGTTTTCAAGATTTCCTCTGTCCCTTTTTTAACAAAAGCAGAGTCATACTGCCTTTCCATTCTTCTTTTATTAAACAATTTTGTTATTTCTTGTGTTGAACAGTTTCCGCCATACTTTAACAATTCGCTGGAGCATTTCTGTTTTTCATTTTTTTAATTGCATTTTTAACTTCATTGGGCGATATGTTTATTTTCTCGTATTCACCTGATCCTATCACGATAGGTAAATATTCCTCCTGTTCTGTGTAAGTAGGTCCTTCAACTGGTTCTGTATTATGTCTAACTTTACAGTACCGCTTACTTCCGCATATCGTTTCCGTAGCACGTTTTGTTACCCGTGTAGATCCGACTCAGATAGGTCTTTTAAGAGCTGTTCCCAATGACGTTTCTAAAATTTATTTTCCAGAATTGTCTGAGTAACAGTGCCTTCTGAATTGATTTTTTTCATATTCTTTTAGTATAGTCACTTCATAAATGAAATAATAATAATAGTAATAACAAAATATTGATATAATATTGAAAGTCCGAAGTTTTTATTAATATAATATGAAAGACCGCACCTTTGACACGTTTGAGATGAATACAATATTACCCCAGCGACTTGAGCAATTACTATCAAGAGAGTTAATCAGTATTATCATTCGCTAAAAAAGTGCTTCGTATGTCAGCGTATAACAGACATTTGAAGAAGGGGTCATTGTCATGATAGAATATACAAATCCTTTATGATGGAATACGTGCTGATAAATGAATTGGAAGTCCGTCAAAGTTGAAATTTTTAGAAAGAGCTAAAAACGAGGTTTTATTAAAATGTTTTTGTAATTTTGAATTAAAAAAATTCTATAGAAATTCAGCACCAACGCGTGGACAAATTTTTTGATTGTGTTAATGAAATAATGTTATTGTTATTATAAGGGAAAAACATCCTTTCTTAAAACTGGCGTTTTTCTGGATTTTATGATCTAATTGAATTTTCACACAGAAAAATCATTGAGGCAATTTTGCAGGTTATAGATATTATATTATTATATTATTATAGCTATTAGATACAATCTTTCTTTCGAGCCTGTCGAAATCATAAATGACGATTTTGGAGAGCTAACGGTATGCTCAAAAAACAGGGGTAGTGCCGACATTAATAATTCGTTTAAGGTAAAAATTATAGAAATTTAATTGAACCCCGATATACTTGAAATTTAGGTATATAATGGACAATACATTAATGTTTAAAAACCACATAAATAAGTACATCCATAAATATATATAAATTTAAATATGTTGTTCCAGTTTCTTGTCGCCACTTACTACCTATTCCTCAAAAAGACTTTAATTATAGTGATGTAGTGGATGCTCCGTATTGATACAGATACACATACAGAAATTCATAACATAGATCGTGTACAAAAGTAGTGCTTCAAGTTTATTTACAGCATTTATTTTATTTATTTATTTATTATTTATTTATTATTTTTTTATTTTTATTACAGCAAATTACGCTTCTTCGATTGTTTTAATGAATCAGGATCCTCCTTCTATCCCTTAATAAAATTAAATTTAGAACTATTTTCGATTCCCAATTTCTCCTTATCAGAATAAACAGTTGGAATGCATAATCAATTACCCTCAGATTTTAGAGTTCTAGTTAATACTTAATAACGTTTATTTGGTCAATGATGGTAAACGATATCGGATTGAAACTGTAACTAGTTGATATTAGTTATTATTGTTTTGTCTACGTGGATATTACATCCTTTTGGCGTTCAGAAATTGTGTGTTAATTTATATCCTTGTATGGCAAATAAATTTTAAACTTTTTAGTATTAATTACAGCAAAAAAAATCAAAATGTTTTGGACTAAAATAAGGCCAGTGCAAATTACATCTTTTCTGAACTCCCATATCGGAAATTCCGCAACAACAGAAGTGGATATCGAATTATCAAATATGGATATTTGGTAGTTTGCGTTTATGCTCCCCCGTTTCAGAGAACGCCCAAGTCGGTCGATTTTTTTTTGGTTATTTTTACGGCATCTGTTTGTCTCGGAATATAAAATTCCGGCAGTAACTCGGCATCGTAAGATAAATTTTTATGTAAGTATGCTCCTTTATTAAAACGGGGAGTCGTCCCTCGCGACGTATCTGCTTTTTATCAATAATAAATATTTTATGCCGCAGTATATATCGAGAATCTTACGACAGATTATAAAACGACGCATTCCAGTTGCACATCCCGTTGCGACATGAGCCGAAATTCGATTAAAATCCTTTGAAATCACCATGGAGTATTTTTAAAATTCGTTTATTGGTCGAAGCGAATATTTTTAATATTTTCTTTTCGGAACCGTTCGGTTGCTTTAGATATTCTTTAGACGCGTTTATTTGAAGGCATACATTTAGGATTAAAATAAAAATTAAAATAAAAGTTTTAGGATTAAAATAAAAGTAACTAACCAAGTAATTCCAAAGCTGGTACTTTAGTAAAAATTGAGTTTTTCTCAATCTTTCCGTACTATGTATTTTTTTGAACTGAGTAATAATTATAATAAAATATATCCCTAAAAACGACATTTCTAGAACGAACTCGATTTAAGCCATTGTTAGAAAAACTTTATTTAGAGGGAGCCGGGGTACAACAGGTATCCATTTTTTTGTCATATACCTCAATACTAATTGATGTAGATGTAATTAAAATTTGTTTCCTATTATTTCTCATGTTTGGGTTTTTTGGTGTTAAATAATTTGTTAACGGGTATCTGCAACCAGTTCAATTTATTTGTCCTCTAAACAAAATGGTTGTGATATATTTGGCAGTCATGCCATTTTAACAAAAAAGAAGCGGTATGGGAAAAACATGACATCGTTTTTTTTTCATCTACATTTTTAATGATATATTATGATTTTGATTATTAAAAAAGCAACATCACTCACTAAAGTAGATCCCTTTTTATAAGAAAATCAGTCTCAAATATATAAATAAAGTTTTCAGTTAGAGAAATCGAAATATGTCAGAAATAATAACAGGACATCGTATGTGAGTTCCGAGGAATTTAAAACTGTCTTAATATACAGGGTCTCATATTAAAAATAGGAAATTAATTACAAAATACAAAAATTTAAATCCTGAATATATAACAATACAATACTTTCAAAGTATAATTAAATCTAAACAAGTTTCGTTTCTAAGTTTCCTGATGTTTGAAGTTCCGAGATAAGTTATCAATCTCATAAATATCGGTCAAGAGACTACGGCTTACTACACCGTAGAGTCTATTGATTTTTATAAATTTTTAAAATATAATCAAACTTGCTGTTAGCTTTCCAACACAGCTCCACGCTGTTCAATGGATGGATCGGACCAATTGCAATTTCTAAATCACAGCGAAAATAAAAAAATCCAAACCAATAATAGAATCCAACAATAATCTGCTATTTGTAACAATTTTATTCGTGCAGGAAGTATTCACTTACATTATGTAACCAATTTAATCGTCTCCAGTGCGGGTTGGCTTTAACTTTGCATTCGAAATAGACGTCGTCCCCTTCCTTGATGTCATCAGCATTCAGAGTACTTCCCAGTGTCAGGTCCACAATGGGAGGATCTGCAAATAAAGTTTTCAAAGGTTTAATTATCGGTTCCAAAAGGGAAATAGAGAAATGGGGTCGCTGATTATATTTCGGATGTTGTACGCCTGACTGAACCGTCTAGATTCTCAACTTATTAAGGGCAATATTTGAATTATAGCTCCCGCAAGAGAAGTGAGTTAATTAAAATGTACAGGGTAGCACACATGACTAGTTCGGTCTTCCTTATTCATAAAAATGTTGATATATTTCTAGATAAATGTTGCATAAAATGTAGAGAAATATGCTGCCTTAAAAGAATTTTTGCTGTCTCTTTGGATTGTGGCATAAAGCGTCAGATAGTTATTATAAAAAAATGTGTGACCGTTTACTGTCGTCTTGAAGGTTGTCCGCACAGGCCCCCCGTGTTTTTCAAAGTGATATCGAGATTGGAAAAAGGGACATGCAGAGCGAGTCACTTGGAATATGTCCGCTTTGAATTGAAAGTGATTGAAAGTTGAGTTTTCCAGAGAAGCATTAAAGGTTGGATATAGCGCAGCATTAGTTGATGATTGTGAGTGATTGTAAGGGACTGCAGCAGATGCAAATCAGTTTGTTTGATGTTGTATGGAACGCTTTCTTGTTGTCCTTCCAATGCCATACATTAGTTCCGTTTGTAGTGGACAGAATTTTGTATGGTATATCTGTCGATCAAAAAGTTCTCTTTGCAACCCTCATGTCTGCGTTTTCAACCTTACTCACCAGGAAGTAACCTCATGTACAAAATCCCGGCAAAGATATTGTAATATATGTTGAGGCAAGTTAAATGTCTTTGAAACCTCCTTTCTTCGGTATCAGCTTTCTTCTTTCGAGAAACCATTCCTGAATCGATGTGCCCTCACTCTATCGGGAATTATAAATCCTATTGTAATTATTGACCCATCGAAGCGCGAAGGTCGTCACAGCTGAGATATCCCCGTTTAACGGCCTTGTTCGTACACTTTATTCCACAAACAAACAATGACATCAGATGGTCGTTCTTGGTGTTAGATTGGCATTATTCATTAATCACCAGTATATCTGGGTTTTCCAGAAATTCATCTCGAGTACTTAAGATAAGCCACGCACTCCATTAGGCAGTGCTGCCTGAGGTGACTATGGATGATTCTTCCACCAGAGTGTGTGCAGGGAGGACACTTTATTATCGGCCTGTACCTTTTCGCAGAAACTACTGCTTTTAGAAAAAAAAAGTTTTATGGTTTAAATTGAATTTATTTATTTTTTTTTTATATAAACACCTATATATTTTGATATTTTTAGAATCCTTGCCAAAAATAAAGGTGACTTTTATAGAAACTACTTATTCGAATTTTGTGTGGTTTAGACAGAAATTAAGATTATACATTTTTTTATGCAAAATTCTGTTCTTAATAAATACGGTCTTCCACGGCGGACCGTGATGACTACATGATCACATTTGAAACGCATTTTTAGCGACTTCCTTCTAATGATCTGCGATGACTAGGTATTTTAAAATTATACAGGGTGTCTAAATTAAAGGACTTTTTTTTAATTCAACTTACAATATTCTTTTTTTTTTTAATGAGACGCCCATGTTTTTGATATTTTTTCTTAAAGCTGCTCAAATAATTTGGTATATATATATATATATATATATATATATATATATATATATATATATATATATATATATATATATATATATATATATATCCTATATACTAATACCTAATTATTTTAAAGAATTTTAAAAAAGGATATCATTCTTAGTTTTTAATTAATTTTAAGGATTTTCGCTTTTTGTATGTAAGGTAATACAGAGATTTATAGGTTTAGGAAATTAACGTCATCATTTTTTATATCGTCAACGATTTAAAATAATATGTATAATTATGATAGAAGTTTAAAAATTTAAAACGAGTAACAGTAACAAGTAAAAACAACAAACAACAGAAACTGTAACAATTAAAGTAAAAACAGAGGTAAAACAAAATAGAAAATCTACAGTAGGTTTTCAGTATGTCCACCATTTTGAATAATGCACATTGTATAAACAACCTCTATATGGTTAATAGCATTAGAATAGGTTTAATTGGACTACAGCTTCTCTAATACACTTTCTCTTTGTTCATTTACCGTAGTGCATCTTTCTTTATATACCATATCTTTCATTATCACCCATAAAAAAAGTCCAGTGGGATAAGATCTGAACTTTGAGGTGGCCACCAGATGTTTCCATTTTGTGGTGTCCAAAGATTGCAATTTTGATTTAAAAATTCAGTGATATCGTTTCGCCGGTGGTACGGAGCGCCGTCTTGCTGCCATATTAATTGAGCAAGTCCACAAGCCGGTAGTTCATTTACTTTGTATTTAATTTCATATTTAAATATCGTCTAGAGTTTGTTTTCATTAAAGAAAATTGGTCCTTTAACCTTTGATCGGTATATTCCGCATCACAGTTTCACAGATCGTCTACCTTGTCGTTTTACTTCCAACACCCTTTTCTTATTTTCATCACTCCATTAATGTGCGTCTTTACGATTAAAAATTGAGGCTTTTGTATTAAAAATTGACAATATTGCGTCATAGTCTCTTTCCTCTAGATATTGCACGGGTAAGAAGTTAAATGTTTTTTCGATTATTTAATTCTAAACAATTTCTGAGGCTAGTTCTTTTTACATCCAATTCCAACGCGGCTTGACGAGTGGAGGATTCTGGAACTTTGAATAAATTTTCCAAAATAGCTTCTTCTCTGGACTTTTCAAATTCGATAATAAACATTCAAGCATATCTGTTTTTTCTTGCACCGTATACATTTTTAACTTAAGTAATAATAATATTGCTTGATTATAGTCACATCTATCAAATTCTGCCTCTTAATTATAACGTCATTTAAAACAATTATAAACACTTATTTGGTTACCACAGCCTACTAGGGTAAAAAGTAAGGTTCATAATAATAATATTATACCCTTTAAAAAAATGGGAGTTTTTACTATTACTGAAAAATTTATTTAAATAAGCGAAGTCATCCTAGATCGTTAGAAGGAAGTCTTATACAGGCCCCTAATAAAGTGCCTCTTAATTATAACGTCACTTAAAACAATTATAAACACTTATTTGGTTACCACAGCCTACTAGGGTAAAAAGTAAGGTTCATAATAATAATATTATACCCTTTAAAAAAATGGGAGTTTTTACTATTACTGAAAAATTTATTTAAATAAGCGAAGTCATCCTAGATCGTTAGAAGGAAGTCTTATACAGGCCCCTAATAAAGTGCCTCTTAATTATAACGTCACTTAAAACAATTATAAACACTTATTTGGTTACCACAGCCTACTAGGGTAAAAAGTAAGGTTCATAATAATAATATTATACCCTTTAAAAAAATGGGAGTTTTTACTATTACTGAAAAATTTATTTAAATAAGCGAAGTCATCCTAGATCGTTAGAAGGAAGTCTTATACAGGCCCCTAATAAAGTGCCCTCCCCAACATCTGAACCATGTACTCCGTTCTGGTAGTACCACTCTGCTCGTAAGCGCCCAGCACAAGTCCACAAAAAGCGTCCATTCCGAATAGGGTGGATTGTCGGGAGCGTGCTCTGAACTTTATCTCGGAACAATAGGAGGTAACCGAAGTTCTCCGGGATGTTCATATAGAGCGCTAGGCGAGTGTTCGCCATTGCTTTGGCTGTCAGCCTGATTTACACCTTTATGTGGATTACTCAAATGGTAATCGCAACACCTTAATGATCACTGACTGTACCGTTTTGCTGGGAATGTCGGTTCACGGTTGCATCCATCTCTTCTCTAGGAAAACGAATCCAATCCTAGGTAAGCAGATTCCACCAATCACACTACATTTGCCACACTTGTCGGTCAGATTTAGCTTAAGACAGCGGCGTTTCATACTTTCTAGCCCATCAAACATTAATTCTTCGATGATCTAGTATAGCAGTTTGTCAATTTTTAAAATTTTAAGATACGTTATAAAACTAACAAAACAACAACATTTCGCTTATTAAAGTGTTAGAATTTTCATTATTATCGGTATAAAAAGTGCGTGTAGCGTTTGAATCAACATAATTATTACCGTATGCTCGCCTCCTGTTCGGTTAATTAAAACTTGTTTAAGAAATAAAAAGCACTCTGGCTCCCGTCGCGTCATTAATCATTCGCCACTGTCATAGTGTATTCAAGGGCTTCCAGTAAACATAAGCTTTTCCCTAAGCTTCACCGTCGCGTTGAAAAGGACGAGAGAAAAAAACGGTTACCGAATTTCCCAAGTTGACAGACGCAATGCGGGAGGCCTTCCTTCGGTTTTCCTTAGCCATTGTTTATGAATCCGGCAAAACGGGGTACGAGACAAGGGAGTGCAAGTCTATTAATGATTCGCCGTGACGAGTTAAACGCTTTTTGCGTCGTATCGTCTGGATTCGGTGGGGCTGTTCTGGGGGGCGCGTTGGAGCGAAAACAAAAAAAGGTTTTATTTAAATTGGAAAAGATGTCCCGAAAGTGACTTGAGACTTTGCGAAAGTTCAACGTTTCCAAATAATCGCGAACGAGAAGTAATATAAAAAAAAAACGCTATTTTTGCTCATCTCTTAAAGAGGAGATGCCAAATTAATAGTAAAATAATGTGGTTTATTGGGTGAAATGTGAATATATTGGATATAACTCAGAAAAATTAAATAAAGGAATGACTTGACAAATAATTGCCGTCCTAATCCACACATCACCAGCCTGGGCACTCATGTTTTCTAGAAATATGTTACATTAGTTTACGTGATAGTAGCATTGTTTAATGTAAGAAAAAATAATTAAAAAATATATTTTCCATTTTTTTAAAGAAGTAATGCTGAATATGATAATGCTTTCAAGATTTTTTTTGATTTTTTGCACTGCCTCCGTTACTTTGTATAACATTAAATTTTAATTCGATAGATTCTTGTGATATTGTTTTGTCTATTTCCTTTCGCATTGAACTGTTTTGTATAACAACAAAACTGTTTTATATAAAAACAAAGCAGGAGTGTTACATTCTAAATTCCTAACAGGTAAAATAGAACTGCTATGAACATGAAGTTGGTTTTCATTTAGAACTACAGGTTTTTTTTTTCAGGTATTATTTTTAAATAATTTTTGTCATTATTTTTCTCTTTTCGTTTAAAATCCCCTTGTTAGTTTTTTGCTATTAATGTTTGTAGGATCTTTGGTTTTTTTTTTTTTGAAGTGGAAGGCTATTTCAATTTTATAAAATTTTATACTGCACCAAAAGCAACTAATAAAAATAAATAACTTTACCGGAATTGACAAAATGTTTGCAAAATGTATACATCACAGAAATATAGGATTTAATCGTTAAAAGAGCTAAATATTTACTCTCTGGTACAATATACTATACAATATTATTTTGTATTAGAAAGCTTTTTGGTAGTACAAGAATATGAAAATGGCCTTTTTAAACAAACGACTTTGCCTACCAGCCACGACAAATATAATATGACGAAAAAAAATCAACCAATGCTTTACAGGGTATGTATTCAAATGGATCACTAGTTCACTACAGGGCCCTAGCTTTGCCCACTTTCACCATCACACACAAGAATTTTTTTATGAGCAGATTGTAGTGAGAGCTAACTTTACAACTTTAACAATGGTAATAATTCCTCCCCATTCTGACATTTCAATCTCTGTAACCAATATGGCGGCGTGTTAAATATTGTATTATATTTTCCTGTTAAAAATGTGTAAATATTTTAAGCATCTAAAACTGATACCGTTCCTAGAATTTTGTAACAGTTTTATTTTTGAACTTTGTAGCGTGGCAAATATTTTCCACGATCCTACCTATAATTACGATGATTAAAAGTGACAAAGTTGTGTTTCCAACATGCGGTAATGTAACTAAGTGGATTTCTAGCAAACTGGAGCGATTCCGATTTTTTTGGACGCCAAAGTTCATTGATAAAATTTGTTCCAGCAGCAGTATATAGCGTGAAACAACATACTGGGGTGTTATAAATCCAAAATGCGCTTATCCAAACCACCCTACTTGTATCCGTCATTAACTTCAATAAGATTAAGATCGTTTCCTATGTGCTTAGGATAACGATATCGAGTAAAGATGGATGACACAAATAACAATATTGTGAAGGCGGCAAAATCTAGCCTTGTAACGGGAGAAAAAACGAAAAATTTCAGTTGGTAAGTTTGTGTGCTCATAATGTGCGCACAATTAATAATAAAATTTCTTTAAAAATCTCCAAAAAATGGGCATATAAACTACAGAAGGAGAAATCTAGAATTTTTGTAAAAAGTTTTGCTCATCAACTATAGAAGTTTTTAAGTAGTGCACACAAAGTTGTAACAATTGCTGCTCTAAGTGTAAATTGTATCAAAGTAATTTTAAATTGTTCATGAAGTTGAATGAGTTGGAGTCAAAATTTTATTTGCAAATTCACTATAAACATTTTTAACATGCTTTTTTTGTCCGACAAATATTTTATGTTTGCTGCTTTCTAATGTTCTGTCATTTTTCCATTTCATTGCAGTTCTTTATAAATTTACGTTTTTATACAAATATTTTTTGTCGGAGAGATAATATATTAAACCCAACATACCGATTATATGCCAGATCCGCGCCGCGCCGGTCGGAAATATCAAACTTTTTCATTTTAACCGACAGGAAAAAAGACGGAACAATAAAAGTAAACGAGAAATTTATTGTATACTTACAAACTACGTCGATTTTCCAAGATGTTTCGAGGAAAAGGCCGGTTACGTTCGGGTTTTCGGCTCTGCAGGTGATGGATTTTCCATCATCTTCTGTCGTCGGCACGAAACTCAATTCACTTATTGTCATGTTGGTCGCCGTTTCTTCCTTAAAACACAATGACGAACAATAAATTTACGTTGCCCAGTGCAAAGAAAAATCTATTCAGGGCATATTTTTAACCTAAATTCCTCATTCCTAGTATCCAACAGAATAGACAACAACACAACAACAATGAATTGTTTCAGTTTGGATAATAATTAACAAACTTAAAAGTTTACGGTTAGTGTGAATCTTTACTGTCTATCTTACCAGTAAAGGTAGTCTCATAGACTTAAAATTATAGACCAATTAGAGAAATTTTGTCTGAAAGGAAGATCAACAGCTACTGCAGTGTTTCGATTTACGAGAATAGTCAATCACTTGTAAAACGAAACTATAGCTTTAGGGACGCCGTCGGCTGCAAGGCTACAAGACTACGTATTGATCGGACTATGTTTGCTGCATCCAATAGTGTAGACTTTTGCATTAGACGGTAAATATTGCAGTTTAGATCGAATTGAACGAGGTTTCCTTTTATAAGCAGCGGGATAACCTTCACTTTTTCCATATGCTACAATTTTTTGATTTCTAGCTTCAGGTGGTCATATTTTTGGATTTTTTTCCGCCCTCTTAGCGTCGATGTGGTGCGTGTTGGCAATAGATATCTTATCTAGATATGCGCCATAAAAAAGGCTAAATTGTAATGACAACCACTTCTGACGTCCGCTCGTTAGTAAGCCAAATTCATTTGCCAAGGACAACAACCTTTTGCAGCCTTGACATCAGTTGGTCAGCTGGGATCTTACTTATTTCACACTTCTTTCTTGGTGTCCCTTACGACTCTCACAATAACGACAACCATTCAAAATTCAAATTCAAGTCCGTGCATAAGTTATTGATATTCCAAACATGTCAGCCATTTTGCCGAAAGATTCTTTAATTTAAAAAGTGAAAACGTTGGTCTGAAAATTTTGTCATTTAACCTTTTGCGTTTGTGAGAGTTAGCCAAAATTGTCAGCGGACATACTCTTCCTTACTTTTCACCAAGAAATTGACCTATTTTTTTTTTCGTGTCCACCATAATACAGCTACTTTAAGCTCTTGGTAGTTTCTTATGGTGTTAAAGGAACATTGAAGCTTTCAGCTGACTGTCCGAAAATATATTTTATACGTCTTGATATCTCAGCCCCAATAGGTCAGAAAGTAAGTGAATCCTGTGGTTTGCCAAGAATATGATATGTGGAAGGGTAGAAATCACAGGAAAAGGGAGCAACCCTAGTAGGTACTGTAAGAATTATAGTATGAATTATTAGTTCAGTATTATATTAGGAACTCATTACTTTCCAAGAAATTGGTCTGGTAACGTATTTTAATCGTATTCGCTTCACATGCTTACTGTAATACCCCATCTTAAATTTTACAGCATGTTAGAATGGTCTGAACAATCGTTTTCATGACTTAGTCCTATGATATGATTGATTTTTCGTATATACACTGTTTTATTGTATTGTTTTGTCAGGTTTTAGAAGACGCTTCAACCAAGAAAAGTATTACTCGCTGGTCTGAGAACGATATAGGAACCGCTCCGTATAAAAGAGTTTGGCCAACCTGCGATTTTTTCTGGCTTCGCCGCAAACATGCAACATGACATGTGTTTGAATTTAGTTTAATTTTTAAATTTAAATTGTAAATATCTCAAAAAGTATTGGCGATATATAAAAGCGCTTTATTATAAAATTATTCTAAATTGAACACACTCACAAAACTTGGACTTTAAGGAGGTTTTCCATTGGAAGTTTTTTCGAAGAACTAATACAAAGTCCAATTTTTAATGAACTTCCGATAAAAGCGAAAGTATATTTTTTTCACTTTTATCAAATGGTTTTCTATAAAAAATACTCTATATATCAATTTTTTTATTATAACATGTTTTTTTTTATTATTTAAATTGAGAAAAAACAACATATTAAAATTTTTTAATATTATTTTCTCCAAAAACAATAGAGTTATCCAAAAACGATAAAGAACCGGAAGTGTTATACAATTGTTTCATATAAGGGGTGTTTTTTTTTCGATGTATAGAACTTTAAGTTGCAATAAAACAACGATGGGTTATTCGATTGACATGAATTTTATTTATCCGAAAGATAATCTTGTGGCATTACATTTTAAATATGATTTCTGGCATATGACCGCCATGGCTGGCACGGATGTAGTCCAATCTGGACGTCCAATTTTCGATGACTTTTTCCAACATTTGTGGCCGTATATCGCCAATAACACGGCGAATTTTGTCTTATCCGCATAAACCAATGACTTTACATAGCCCCACAGAAAGTAGTCTAGCGGTGTTAAATCACAAGGTCTTGGAGGCCAATTCACAGGTCCAAAACGTGAAATTGGGGGGTCACCAAATGTGTCTTTCAATAAATCGATTGTGGCACGAGCTGTGTGACATGTTGCGCCATCTTGTTGAAACCACATCTCCTGGACATCATGGTTATTCAATTCAGGAATGAAAGAGTTAGTAATCATAGCTCTATACCGATCACCATTGTCTGTAACGTTCTGGCCATCATTGTTTTTGAAGAAGTACGGACCAATGATTCCACCAGCCCATAAAGCGCACCAAACAGTCAGTTTTTCTGGATGTAACGCTAAACAAAATTCGCTTATGAAAATCTGGAACAACGGCAATCTCGTTTTGGGTCCATTCGACGAATCTACGCTTTACTTGATGATCGTTTGACTTCAATTCTTGCACGAGTTGGATTTTGTAAGCACGTAAACCAAGATCCTTCCGCAAAATATTCCATAAAGTGGGTGGACACAGATCCAATTCCTGTGCTCGATGGCGAACGGACTCATTCGGGTCTTCCTCAATGCTACGCTCTACAGCAGCAATAGCTTCTTCTGTACGCACCGTACGGCGTCTCTGGGGATGCGAGTTATCAATAAGAGTAAACGTGGTGTGAAAACGTTCCATGGTTAATCGAATTAACTGCTCTTATGGACGATTTTTGTAGTGCGCGATACGTATTCCGCACAGAACCATTATTTTCGAAATAAAATTGCACTATTTGCAAGCGTTGTTCAGGCGTGAGTCTACTCATGATGAATTGCCAAACCAAACTGAGAATAAATCACTTGACAGCTGTTAAATCGGTCGCCATCTCGAACAGTAATGCCAACTTAAAGTTCTATACATCGAAAAAAAACACCCATTATATGTTTTATATGCCATCTTTTATTTTTTATTTTATTTATTTTTAATTATTTCATTTTCAAATTTATTCAATTCAAATTCTCCATTTTTAGATAGAGTTATCCTTTGAATATCATCGACATCTGCTATAAAATAATTCCTATAGTGCATTCCTGTTTGATTGTCGAAAATTACGTATTTAAATTCAGTTTATAATTTGTCTTCAGTTTGTCGTTATAAAGAAGCTCTATATAAAACAATTGTAAAGTAAACTCCATAGCTTTCTATGGTTGATTATGATGATTGTTAAATAGGTAAAAAAACTCTTAATCACAATTTTTGGACATCAAAATTAAAGTGACTCTGCATAAGAGAATTAATAGTATTTTTTCAGTTTTCGATAGACATTGTCAATGGAGAAACCTTAAAGTTGAATCAAAAAATAAACCCAAGTTTCGACATGATTGTGTATATGGAATATCGTTACTCTCAATTTTAATGTTTATATCTTTATTTAGGCTGGATTTCACAAAGACTAAAAAAGTCCATTTTGATGAGTTGAAAATTCAAATAATCTAGCACAAAGCAAATGTCATTCTGCATATATCTCTTTAGTTTTATTTTTTGAACTTACCAATAACTTGCAACAAGATACGTTCAAAACAGCAAACATTAAATGATACACTGTACAGGTCGCCACAACATAAAAGAAATTGAAAAAACTCCACCATTAGTAAATTAAAAACCGGTTAAATGGCTCTAAAGTAAAGCGCAGTTTGCTTATGACATCTTCTAAAAAAAATAAAATTTATTATGCTTAATGTCCGTAACAAAATAGCAGCCGGGTGAAAACGAAAAAGAAAAATGGAAGCCTTACTTTTGGAGCGAATACAGTTAAGAGGTTTTATCACTTTTAATAAACGCTTTGTCTTGGAAAATAAGGCGTTCTCGTCAGCGGTCCATGTGGAAAATTAAAATTTAATTTAGGATGCAGCCATCTCAGAGGTTATTCTTCTGCGTCGTACGTTTCGTCATAGGGTGCATTTAACGACGGATAAATCCTATTAACGGGGAGGATCCCGTTGGCAATTTCTAGATGGAAACCGTTTTGGTCAGTCGCTGTAATTTTGCTTCAAAGAAGTAATTTTGTGGTGTAGACATTTAGAAATTTGCAATGCGACAAAGTCGTCTGTAATGTATCAAAACTGTAAGTAAGTGCAAAAAATAATTGGCTTCTACCGTCTGCCAGTGGTGAAGAAAAAACTGATTCGCGTAGCCATATTTAATTTTTGTTAGCTTTCCACCAAATTTTACAAATTTGTTACTCGATGTTAACCATGAAAACTGTGAAGTATCTAAAATCGAAAGCAGTTGTGTCGTCAGCTTCCATGGTGCCAATGTGGCAAACGTCAATAGTAAGAAATCTACAGAAAGTTTGTGACAGTTTAATTGCGTATAATTTAAAGTATTATGTTTGACATTACCACGGCGGATCCCTTTGGCGATAAATTTAAGCATTTTCATTTTGTTAGATTTAAGTAGGAATATTATATTAAATTTTTGTGGTAGAAACGACAACAGATTAGTAGAGCTCCAGATTGAGGTGAATATGCTAATTTCCTTGGAGTTTTTACTATTATTGAAGAGATGTTTTGCCTATAGGCGCCGTGCTAGGAGACATACCAAATTTTTAGGTAGTATGCATAAGATGCAGAAACAAAGAAACCATTAAACAAAACTATAGAACTTTTTAGTTAAATGAAATGATAAATACATCAATAATAAATGCAAGTGGACTTTCATTTAAGAAAAATGAATTTAACCTTAGAGGCTGTAAAAGAGGTCTACCTCATCCATCCTCTAGAATTGTTATAAAACTTATGGGACCTGCGGTCATATTGCGAATTGACAATTCAGCAGTTCGTTCGAATAGAATTCCCCATATATTATTGACTTAAAGAATTCTTCGCACAATTCTGTCTAATATGTATAAGGTTCCCTATGCTTAAAGCCAAAGTGATCACCAGTATCATCTGGCGAACTGTGAGAAGAAGCTCAACTCAAAAATATTAGAAATAATTTAGCTTTAAAAGAGAAACAATTTTGTGTAGAATCCTTAAATTTATGAAAGTCGACTAAAATTAATGATTTCGTGGATACTTGCAAAATCTTTAATGAAAGTGAATCAGAATTAATGTATTTCGTAACGTATTTTCAGATAAAAATACCCACCTTTGACTAGTTATTTTTCTAAAATTCCATACGCCGATGACCTGCATTAATCTAATTCCAAGACAACCGTTCTACTCCCTTCTGTAAAATATCTAACACGCCAATCTAGCGCGAGGAAAGCTTCATTTTACCACGTCAGTTTTGTTTCCCACGGATCTGAACCACTTCGGACATTTTCGTGATTTTACCGCACGGCTTTAATTTTGACGTTTGTCAATTCTGACGGTCATATCAGGAAATGCATTCGAGTTGTTTTGCAAAAATGTACCCACAACCTAACGGTAATAGAAAAAGCATAGTAAGTAACACGTTTATTAAGCACTCGCTCCGCTCGTGCCAAATAAATGTCGTTTACCATACTTGTTGCATAATATACTATTTCAAGAAGCCCTAGTTGCGAATATTTGATTGAATTATGGAGTTAACAATTTAATGGAATACGATTCTTAGTGTTATAAATATTTGAGTATTCGTTTGTGTTCTTCACTTATTTCTTTATATCTAATTTGTATCATGTTTTTTGGGAATATTTCGAACCGAAATCAAGAACGTTGGCCTAAGCTAAATGATTCTTCAATATTTGAATGACCATCCGCATGAAAGGAAGTATGATATGCGGCAGTAGAAATTACATAAACAAGCATTTCTCCAGACGCCTAAAAGATAAAGATAAAGATAGCTTTATTTCCATAAGAGTTGATTTACAAGTGTTGGATATTGTCAGCATAATACGAATGTAAAAGTATAAAATTATCTTAGTATAATTAGTGAATTAATAATAATAAGTAATACTGATAGATAAATAACAAATATATAAAAAATAACATAACGAATCCGTATTAAAAGGTATCACAAGAAAGAAAATCCTTAATATTGTAATAGGCGAGGCGTAGCAATTTGTCTTTAAGAGTGCATTTGAATTTTGTTCGACTAGATATCTCCTTCAGTTCGATAGGCAATTTATTATAAAACTAACCAAAACTGAAGATATACCGAGGTAAGATTTTAATTATTTATGGTTGCAAGATAATTCTGAATTTAAAATATATATATATATATATATATATATATATATATATATATATATATATATATATATATATATATATATATATATATATATATATATATATATATATTATAATTTTATGTATGAATAAAGCTACATTTTTATCTTGACACTACATCGTTGACAGACGGTAAGAGACAATACTCCTCAAGAGTTAATGTTGCTATGGCATTTGAAAAGACTAAATTCCTAGGCCATACCTTTCATTATGAAAATTGGAATGCTGCTAGTTTCCTCAGATTAACGGTGCAATTTACATTTATAACTTAATAAATTAAAATTTTACTATTCGTTGGACCACAGAGACGTTAGGCCCCTTGATTTATTTCTCTGTGGATATACTATGCTAAAAGACCCTCAGACCCGAGAAGAGCTTTGTGATCGTAGCGACAACAGTTAAGCAATGTAATGAGCAACTTTTATTTAATTGTTTTAAAACTTTTTCGTTATCTTTCAAGTTTTTGTATAAAATTCCATTACAATTTACACTTTGTAATCCCAAGTATAACAATTAGAAAACGTTAGGAATTTAGGCATCCAGTTCAGTTGGAGAAAATAATGGAAAATTGGATCTAGTCGTGGATCAAAATCGAATATTTATGCGCGGGCTTACACCGATAATACATAATAATGATAAATATAAAATCTGATGTCAAACGAATGGATCCGAACGGCATCAATTTTTTAAACCGTGAAACCTCCGATATAAAAGAGATTGACGGGATAAATCAAGAAGCCGGTGCACGTCGGCTTCTTTTAACGGATCGACACGCCCACACACAGGGATTACGGGCCTTTATTATTTGACTTCTCGTATCCTTCATCAATCAGTTCGTTTGTTATTTGGGAGACTTCAAAGGACTCTAATTTGCATCCGATTATTGCCAGAATAAAGCCTCAGGACTTTGTCCCTTTTTCTGCGAACCTTTTCACATTCTGGAAACTTCTGTTTAAAAAAGTGTCCCGTCTTTTTTATGACCTTTTTGAATTTGCACGGTATTGAGACCAAATTTTTTCCCGGCAGATTTTCGGCAACTTTTGATTAAAACTGATTGAAAATAGTATATTAAGCAACAAATTTTATAAACGACATTTTAGTCATGAGTTTATTTAGGTACGAGCGGACCGCAACTTAATAAACGTTGTCTAATAAACTAGTGAACAGAGAAATTTATAAATGTGTTACGCACTACACTTCTCTTACGACCATTAGTTTGCGGTTACATTTTTGCAAAACAGTATGAATGAATAAATTCACTGAGTGACGAGTGACGTGACCACCACAACTAAAAATCGTTAAATCAACAATAATAATAATAACGATGCCTTTTATTGCCAAATCAACATTTACATAAATAATGATATAAATAAAGAAAATATTTTAAGAAGCAATACCAATGACTGAGTGGCGAAGCCTAGCTCGCAGTGGCTGCTATTACGCAACCACATATCAGCACTGCGAAGACTTCCGGATTGAAAATTGAGAGAATCAAATTAATTACAATTCAGGTGTAACGTCTCTTACGACTATAACCATATATTATAAATATTGCATGGTATATCCAAAAATACCATCAGTAGTAAAAGAGACTAAACTGCAAAAAGGGTCACAAAGCTTCAACAGTAGGACTCTTTTGCGTCAAAGCATATCTAAGATCAACATTAGCGTTGAATAGTGTAAATGTGGTCGGAGATGATTGGAATTGGGCCATTCCAAAATATACTGACTTATGCGCGAAGATATAGAGATAGAAAAGTACAGGAAGAATAGAAACTGTAATAAATGAACACGAGAAGACTCATTATTTATTGAGTCTGAAACTTATATGCATGGGCAATGGTGGGGGAGGGAGATTTCCTATAAAACACAGGCGTCGCTATGGCAATCTGCCAATTTTGATTAGTTAAAGGCTAGTGGTGTAAAATTTTCTGCAGAAATATTACCAGTCTGTTTTGCTATATTATACTTATGTAATACCTATATGGATAAATATGAATAGAAATTAACAATACATAAATGTGGTAATTTCCTAAAAAAAATATCTTTGTCAAACATATAGGTTGATGATTTGTCTTTTTAAACAAAATCTACTTTTGTTACAATTTAATTACCCTCCTTCACTGTTTTTTATATTAAAAAATAGATTAAAAAAAACAGTAAAAATAATTTTAAAACATGTTCTGAAATTAACCAGTGCATTACTATTAATAGTCTTGCAACCAATAGACATTTCACCCAATATGCACTACATATGATCGAACCAAAAAGACATTTTGATTTTTAAGTTTTAAAAATCTTCTGGATTCCTCCTGCGTCGGTTGTCAATGAATCGAACTAGCTGGCGACTCATCAACAACCGGCGCAGAAGAAATCCAGAAGATTTGTAAATAGTATTACAGTAGCCTGCGGAAGTTTCTTTGAAAAATTTTGTTACTTTTTGTTTAATTTGAATACTTTCCAGTCTATCCAGGTTTAGCAATTAATTTTAATTAGAAATAATATCACTAGGCTGCGAGGAATTATAATTTAAGAAATTCAATATTCTACATTTCTTCCACCACATGTTTTTATTGAGTTAGCACTTTTGTGGCAATTTTGATTTGTTCAAGAATCGTAATTTGGTTGATTTCCTCCAGACATTGTGGACTATTTGGTTGTACCATAGTCATTTTAAATTTCATTTATTTTTTCAGAAAACCTAAATGTCATTAGGTAAGCACAACAAGTTTATTCGTTTTTTTTTTTTTGAGAGAAAAGTAGCTTGACATGTTATTTTATTTGTTAAAATGTTGAGAGTTTCACTGTAAGGTTAATAAGTTTATTTAAGCTATCGGTATCAAGAAACATCCGAATTGCCTTCTGACTGTTCATGTTTACACCTCTCATATGGCATTTTTCCTTTGGACAGTGGACAACGAATTGCTGACGAATCGGCTTGCAAACATCATATCCAGAGAAGAGAAAAATACTTAATCTAGTTTAGGACCATGTTTTCTAACTTAAAAAAATAAAAATGTTAAACGATGTAAAATAGCTAACCCAGGCTTATGAATTTTTTAGAATTCCTCAAGTAATTAATACTTAACTTGCTTTACGATCCAGTTTCAGACAGACACAGACAGTAAAGCTTTCGACAAAATATGAAGTAATTGTATAAATAACAGAATTTACACTCCAATTACTAAATTCCAAAGAAAAAAAACTGTTGCGAAAGATTTGCTTGAAAAAAAAAATCTAGTAAAAATCGTAACTAATACTACAGATATGAAAATGTTTACCTGGTAGCTGATAGGAAAGGTCTGTACGGGGGATTAGATCATGACGGACGACAGCGCATTTAACGAATTTCTTTCCGTTTTCTTTGCTAAAACTGACCAACGAAAGCGAACCCCCAAAATTCTCTTCAAAGTCAAATAAACATTCGGGACAAACATAGCATATTTACACTTCCCGCTTACCAAATCCGACTAATTAATTCGAAATATCTAAAAGGATTTGCATACCTTGGTCCTTCGTAGTTGTCTCTTCCCTTTGTACCACGTAATTATCGCCGGGGGACGCGATCCTGCCGACTCGCAGGACACCTCGTATCTCTTGTCCGCGACCAGCGGGCTCTGCGTTCTCAGGATGTTTATAGTCAGCGGCTTAACTGAAAACGAAAACAGTCCTGGTTCAGACTAAACGCTGAGGATTATATGTGCCGGTTATCTCGACATTTGCAGTCTCTCCAATTTACATCTCTACATATGCACACGTTCCCAAAAATGAAAACGTATTCCCATTTCTGTGTTCGGTTCAATTTTTTTGATACTTGGAATTTATAGTTCCTATTTAATTAATTCTGTAGTTCTTCATAAGCCAAAAAGAAAAGGCAGAATAACTTAATTTACGATATTTATTAGAATTCAATATGATTGGCGTACCATTGTCAATTATAATACCCCATGACCAGACATAATAACCAAGAGGTCGGTTTTTGAAAAATTGGTTATTAGAAACTTTGATTCTGCTCCGTTGAACCAAAATATTTTGAACGACGCAACGTTGCAGTTTTTTAAATATAACATGATTGTTTTTTATTTCGGTCACAGATTGCGAAAGCCGTTTATATTTGTTATAAATTTGTCTCATATAGTATACACAAAAAGGCTCAGCCTTCTTTTTTTCTCACCTCATGTAAATAATAAATTAATAAATAGTGCCCTTATTTACTAAGTGGATTGAAACAATGAGTTATACATGAAGCGGAAATGTTCAAGTAAAAAATTCCTACAAATGTCTTAGTTTAGAGTAGCTATTTTCGTTAGTTTGGTTTTGGTTGATCTGGTTTGGTTAGATCGTTACCACATATGAAAGATTTCTTGCTCATTTTAATTTTAAAAATTAAGTTAAGGGGGTTTGAGGTTTTTCCAAAAACAATTATTTTTATTAAAAACCAAGGAGTGTGCGGCCAAACACAATACAATATTATTAAATCAATATTTATTTTATCAGCAGCAGTAAAAAAATCAAATGTCTTGTCGGGAAATTAAATGTAGGTTTGCTTGTCATCAGCAAATCGATGTCTAGAACTATATTCTAATGTGGTTTAGAAATCTGCTGTATAGATAGGAAAGAACACAGTATTTAATGAGCTTTCGTTGTTTTGTGAGCTCTGACCTCATTCGCCAAATACAAAATAAGCAAATTTTCAAACGAATATTTTTTGATTCAACGTATCGAAAGCCCTACTGCAATTTATTAAAAATAAACACGTTACATTTTTATCATCTTGTGCTTTAAAAATGTTTTCAGTGACTTTGTTGTTTGATCTAAAACCGGATTGAATGGGAGAATGTATCTAAGTGAGTTTTTTAATAAAAAAAATTGTACAATAAATTTTCTCAAGAGCTTTGAACTTAGTTAACAAAATCCTGATAGATCAAAAACCGGATGACTCAGATGGATTCTGTTTGTTCTGGGAATAAGAAATATATTCGATATTTTTTTTACATTTTTTGGATACAGTAATTAAAGAGGTGCGTCAGTTAAAATGGGAAAATGAATTCAATAATACAATAGAATGAGTTTTTCTAATATATTTTTTTAACATTACTTTGAAACGCTTTAAATATTTGAACGTATTTATTTTATTTTCCAAGTTATTAAAAGTAAGAGGGAGTTTAGGTAAGAAGAGATATTAACAAATTAATAAATTTTTCGATCAAGTTATTGCAATCACTTTCCCTCTAATACAGAGTTATCTTAAACACGAAATATTATCTGCAAATGCTGTAATTAGTGGATTCGGATCTATAGCGTCAAATAGGCTCGAACCCTGAGGTACTCAGGTTAAAATATTTAACATATATAACATATCTAGAGAAATGTGTTTATTTCGATCAATTGAAAGATCCACCAAAAAAAAACATATTCTTTGCCTCTAAGATTTATAATAAGTTTTCAAGCCAGGTACAGTTATTTTTCGATACAATCGAGCAGGCGGGCACTGAAAATATTTTAGTTCGATAGAGGAAAGTCAAAAAAAACCTCTGCGACCAAATTTTCCCAAAAGGTCTAATGGTCCTAATCATTGTTTTATAATAATTATTATGAACTGCTTTCCACCAAGTCATTCGGCCCGTTATTTTGTCAGCTTTTCCATAGCACTCAAACCGTCAAACGGAGTCATTATCTTCAGCGCTCTGCAATAATGTGGTACGTGGACGGAAGCATCACGGCAACGGCCCAAACTTTGATAAAAGAGCCATAAATTGATTGATACGTACACCGTTCGGTAATTTCATAATCGGCGTTGTCGTAATTCAATTGCACATCTAAGCACATCGAAATCGATGATGTTGCACACGCGGTACGCGTACGTATTGCCCGTCCGTTGTCGATAAAATAACGCTGAAGCTGAAGCAGCTTCAGCATCACCGGAACGCGATTTTGTATAGCTGCATGTCGCTCGCTGTGAACGAATGTAATCGAGATTAATTGATATTAACCTGCTATAAATTACGCGCGTGTTGCAATATTGAAGCAGGACGGGTGAATAAACAATTATTACGTCCGACAATGGCCGAGATATGACATATTTCACCAGCGAACAATGCCGTTTAATGGGATTTGCTTGGAGTTTTTCGACGAAAAAATTTTTTTTCGACAGGAAACTTTTTTTTTATTTTTTGTGACCGCGACGATTCGATCGCGCGCTGAAATTTATATCATGGCGAAGGTTTGCTGAAATGAATTTTTTATAATCAAATAAAAGAAAATAAATGTTTCGTTTACTCTTACCAAAGTTGACAGACATATATGGCGATTCACGGTGAATTACAGGTTAAACGTTAATGGTCAACGAAACGTAAATTTGGTGGTTTACATAAACCATCTATCGCTCTAATATAAACGTCGTATTAAAATCACGGACCACTAAAATTTGGGTCAACTCCGTTTTGTCGCGAATTGCCGACTGGATTTTAATACATATAAACTCAAACATATTAAGAAAAACAACTTTATTTAAATTTAAGTTTAACACATTCTGTTTAAGTCAATGTATAGCTCAGCATCTTGCTTCTTTCATTCAAGGCTATATCTCAGTTATTAAAGAAATACAAAATTATATATCAAATGAATAACTTCTACAGATTACAAGAGGAATTTTATAATACCAGATCATATCTTGGACCTGCTAATGTGTTGATGTAGCAAACATTACCAGGGCAATTTGGACAAATATCGATCAACAAAGATTAAAGTAAAAGTCGTCGGTATCAATCGATTATAATATGCATGGGAGGAAACACCTGATATTGAGTTTTTATTTAGTTGTTCAAAGAAACTTCCACAGAATCCACAAAACTTCCAGAGAATCTTCTGCATGCAAATGCATTCGTCCTGGGTCGGTTGTTGTTTCAGCCAACAGGATGATTGGCGAAACGTCAGCAAGTTCAATTTAACAACACCCAACGAAGCAGAAATCCAGATGTAACTAAAAAAAGGAAAATGCTGGGTGTTAGGTTCTCGGAACCATAACTAAAAGCGCTGGATTTTTAATTTATATTAACTGAAAATTTAAAACCACACAATCTCAATGCACTTCACTTCCGTGACTTTTTCTTCTCCCAGAGGCGCACCTGGGTCGTATACAGTCTCCTCCTCCACTTACACAATTTAAATTTTTGAACATTTGATCGGAAAACTGAGGTGGTAAACCAGTTTTTAATCGCACAGAACGAGAGATTCTCAATTTTTTGGACGTGCGCATCTAGCATCCTTTTATGATATATAATTAACATTATATGGTGCGCAATTAAAACTAAAATTTGCGGGAACACTTCGAAAAGATAGGGGAATTCTCACAGAATGTGACAAACATTAAGTATAAAACTGTTTTTTTTAAATACCCTGTATATGTCTAAAATTTAAATTTAAAGAACAATCCTTTTTGTAATATCGTATCCTAAGGATATGTTCAGCGATACGACGTGGCCGTTTTTTCGAAAAAGTAGAATCAGTTATTATATTTTAAATGGGTTGAATATTATTGGACTTTCACATTTTTGTTAATTTTGAAAAATTAATTATTTTCCCGACTTTTGTGTTCAAAACAACAAGCCATATTTGAACTCCTAGAGAGCTGAAATTTTGGTTTTATGTAAATGATAAATACCGGTGTATTTTATCAACTATTCTAGAAAAAAATTAAAAACCTCGTCAAATGATATATCATGTTCCTATACCTAAATATTAAGAACACCGAAGTAATAGCGAGTTTCTGTAAAAATTGGAGTAATTGTCATATTTGCCATGGTTTATTATTATTATTGTAAAAGTCTCCGAAAAGATCATAACGGGTGAAAGGGAGAACTACTCAAAAAAAGATTTCATGAATTAGTTTATTTTTCACGAAAGATGTGTCCAAATAATGGCAAGAACGTGCAGACAGTAAAATAAAGTGTATTCTGATGTAGAGCAATGAACAAAAATCACAAAATAATTTTATTGATTGTAGAGCAAAAATAAGTTTCGTAGTCACGCTAAATAACAAATGCGAGAAAATTGCATTTGCAAATGCTGGCCACTGGCTTCTGAACGGTACAGTTGTTTTGTAAACGTTCCTCTTTAAATTACATTCTAAATAAAAACCAGAGTTGTATGATCGGGTTACTTACTTTTAGTCGAAACCATCATGCGATTTTTGCAACGATAGGTTGTCCGAAAAATCTACTACTGATTTTAAAGTTTGCAGAAATTTTTCAGAAAGTAATGCTTCATTTTTGAGAGGACAAACAGTAGTGAGGTTTACAAAATTAATAATTCAAAGAAATTAACATAGATTCCATAAACCGGAACATATGACAAAAATTTGGTACAGCCACTCGACTAGCAGGTTTGGATGTCGAGAAGTCATAGGGCAAAGTTTGAATAAGTTTGAAAATTTTAAAAAAATGCAATAAGATCTCAATCCGAACATCAACAAAAATAAAAGAAAATTTTTCTTGGTATCCGATATGTTTAACAATATATAACAAATAATGTTTATTTTGTCTGTTAAAAATGCTCTCCCTAGGTAAAGATCATCTGGGGTAAAGATCAGAAACGTTTTACAAAATCCAATTCTATTTAGATAATCCTGTGAGTTCTGTGCTTGAACTTTGGTAAAATTACGCATTATGCTCAATAACTTTAATTATTTTAATTTAAATTATTTTGTAATATTCAAAACTAATTCTCGTTTATTTTATTTCCCATGTTCTTGTTATAATTTCACCGCATTGTGGATAAAAAATAAACAGATTCACAAACTATCTCAGAATATATTAATAATACCCCATTAACTGTCAAATTTTGTAAATTTTCAGTAGAATGGATTGAAAATTTCGTGCTTTTTGTCTTCTATAGGGTGTTCCATTGGATGAAATTTCTTCTTCTTCTTATTTTAAGACTATGTCTTGTGTTTTCAAGGAAGCAGCTGTGGTGCGCCCAATACCTTGTCCTAGTTGTATTTGTGGTACAGTGTATTGTCAGAAGTTAAGAAGAAGACGAGTGAGAACGGCGAAATGAGTAACTGTGGGGGGTAAGAAGACGGTAGCGGGATACGCTACGCGCTCATTTGGCGAGTATTATTTTGTTAATTTGTCTTGTTAAATTACCAAATGTGTAAGCGTGTAATTCAGTTTTGAATGGAAAATAGAAAGTACGACATCAGTTGTTGTTTATTTCCGATTGGCTAGCCGAGGCAACACACAGCCTAAGTTGTGACTCCGAGGTCCAGCTCTCATACCAGCGCTTTGGTGGTCTTCCGGGAGGGCTGCTTGTCTTGGGTCTCTCTTCCTTTGCGATTTTCGCCAGTCGATCGTCTTCCATTCTATTGACATGATCTCTCCATGCTCTTCTTCTAGTTCTGGCCCATCTCACTATATCCGGAACGTCACACATTCTTCTAATTTCATTGCTCCTTATTCTGTCTCTTAGCGCTTGTGTGCCTGTGATTGAGCGTAATGTCTTCATCTCGGTCGTTCTAAGAATCTGTTTAGCAGCTGCAGTCTCCGCCCTCGTTTCTATGGCGTATGTCATAACTGGTCTAACACAAGTTTTATAATCCGCGTTTTGCTTTCGATACTAAGTATTTATTCCTCCATATCACGGTTCGAAGGAATCCCGATATCCTAGATGCTACTATTGTTTACATTTTTACTTCTTGTTTCAGGTTCCTATTGCTCGTGATGTTAACCCCTAGATACTTAAAAGACATAACCTGCTCCACACTTTTATTATAAATTGCCAGTTTGCATCTTCTGGGTTCTCTCGCTATTGTCAAGGATTGTGTCTTCTGTGTCTATATGATCATATTGAATTTTCCTGCAGCTGTTTCGAATCTGTGTAGTAGTTTTTGCAGATTATTCTCATCTTCCGAAATCACAACCGCATCATCAGCGTAGCAAATTATCTCAAACTCATGTTTTCCCATTCTGTATCCTCTGCCTGCAGTTTTGACTTCTTTTATTATTTCGTCCATTATAATGTTGAAGAGTAGTGGACTGAGGCTATCTCCTTGTCTGATCCCTGTTGATACTGTATTTTACTGGAGAGTTCGTTGTTTACCTTTACATACGTGCTATTTCCGCTGTTCATGTCCCGAATGATGTCTATTGTCCTTTGGTTTACGTCTCGTTCTTTTAGCAGCTCAATGACGTCATGTAATCTCACTCTATGAAATGATTTTGTTAAATCTATTCATAGATTTAACAAAATCATTTCATAGAGCTTCAGCACTTATACGCGGTTTTATTGTATTCTATGGACTTTTCGGCAATCTGTCTTGAAATGAATACAGCGTCTATGGTCGATCTATTTTGTCTGAATTCCTGCTGTTCTTCGCTGATACCACTACTTGAGACTTCTTCTGTAATAATTTTTGTTAATAATTTTGAAGTCGTGTTTAGGAGGCTGATCCCTCTATAATTATTTGGTTCTTTCTTTTCCCCTTTTTTGAAAACAGGGATCGTTATGCTTACTTCTCATTCCTCTGGTAGTTTTCTCTGGTCGTATATCTTATTAAACCGGACATGCATTTGGTCTATTGGGTAAAATTTAAGTTTCCTTATCTTTGTTTCCATCGGTATCATCGAACTTTTACGTTTGACTTGTATATTACATAGTGAATTTATCTAAATAAAATTATTGCATGAAATATTCGTAACTGGAGCCAAAGAAAAAAACAACACAAACTTGATCGAATATGGGGAACTATGGTGGAAGACACAATACTGACTTTTTGAACCCTAACTAACTGTTTACTAGAAACCAGTTAATTAAGTCGATATTTAGATATATTTTCTTTAAAATTATGTACGCTGTTTAATTTAACAGCATATTGCAATAAATTTGTGTCACACGCACAGTGTAGGTTGAAATAGCAGCGAAATCGAATTAAATTGTCACCACACAATTTGATGCTTGAATTTAGTTTTAATTAATTTAATTTAATTATTATTTAGTTACAATATTTGTCAGCAAGGATAATATCTGAATCAAACTGTTGGGTTACGCAACAAATTTTTGTATAAATTTGTCCGTCCAAAACTGTATTACCTAGATCATTCTCGTTCAACCAATCCTGTAATTCTTTGTCGCTCATTGAATTTACCCAGTTCGTAAAGTAATGATCATGCCCTGATTTACCCAAGATTCCTGATGGAAGATATAACGGATTGAAGCGAATTCAAAGCGTGGCTTCATCAAGAGTTTCGCACACCAGTTTGGGGAAAACGTAATTGGCACGTAATTCCAAAACTTCCAAAAGTAGAAAGAAAATGTTTGACTCGCGACGTATGCGAAATATTTCAGGTCGCACCGATCGCTAAGTGAAGTAGACAGGTTATTGGAAAAAAATGGAAAGTTCTCGCAGAAGTAAAGGATGGAAAACAAAGAGACAAAGTACGACTGGGTAGTACATTGTTAAGGCGTTAATATTTCAACAATATTTAAATTATATCGAGAAACCAAAGCAATTCCTAAATTAAATAACAAGAATGGTAAAAAAAACATTAATTTCTATGCGCCGAGAAACCATTGATAAAGATGCTAAACTTAAGAAAGAGAAAAAAAAATACAAATAGAGAAATGGGGACAGATCACCAACACTATACTTACGGATGAGATCCAAAATGACATTCGCTTCCTTAGGCTCAGTAAGTTTCGTGTTCTGTGCTTGGCAGGTAAATATCGCGTCCAAATCTTTCCTTGCCACAGATGGCCATATCAGTCGGTTCTCTATCACGTCTCCAGCGTTATGCTCATACTCTGCGTCCACGACAATCCCATTGACTAGCCATCGTACCGTAGGTTGTGGATGACCACCCACTGCTCTGCAGGTCAAAGTAATATCGTCTCCAACCTCATGGGGTCCAATGGTGCCGTTTAGAAGACGACCCCATTTGTCGAGGAGTATTGGAGCTTCAGGTGGAACTGAAAAAAAAAAAGTTTGCTGTTAGTAAATAATGGAATGAAAATCTTACTATTATTGTGCCTTGCATCACTTATTGATATTTTAGTAGTAGTTTATGTCCTGCCTATTAAAAATATTTCACTGAAATTTAAATAATTTTGATAAACACCATTTTGATTTAGTAATTGAAGAAGTTTATCAACATGTTGCATACGAACATTTTTGCAACATTTTTGCAAAAAAAGCACGAATACCTTTACTTCAGAACCGATACTAGAGTATACAAATAAGACTAGACCTTAGACCGCTACCCCCATACAAATACCATTATCAAAACACCATGCAAAAGGTTACTGCCAGGAGAAACTTCCTTAAAAAACTAACAGGAGGCAAGTGGGTCATAAACATACATAGGTTCTAAGTGCAATGAATTAGACCTTGTGTTTCGTAAGAAGAAGATTTCTAATCGGAAAATTTTATAAAGATAAACGAATCTGATTTTTATAACTTTGTGCTAATTGGGTTATAATAGCATTTTTGCTATTAGTTTTAAAATAAGAACGACATTTGGAGAAAATTGACATTAAATCCCCAATTTTAATCATGTAGAATTCGTTTTTTTTTCAAAACGCGTTTAAATACATTTTATTTAGATATTACAACTTCGGTCTTATAAAAGTTCAAAGAATGTACTCAAACTTTTGACGTCAAATTTGAAGATAGTGAGCTTGGTTGCTTGGTTACTTCCGCCTCGTAAAAAGTAATAAAATTAGCCGAGATTATTTAGTAATTACTTAGCGCGGCTGCTGCTGCAGCGGTCTTTCATTCTCGCATCCAATTTAACATCTCCGTAAAACAATAATCTGATAATGCGATACATTACGACCAATCCACTGAAACACAGAAAAGGTGTTATAGAATTTCGTTAGAAATCGGATTGGTCTTTATGCGTCCGAATCACGATGAAACAGTTCAGTTCACACACCGTACAATAAACGACGTTAAATGTGCGGATGGAAGGATATATAAGAATTACTTAACTAGCTTGTCATATAAGTAGTATATAAATAAGTAGATAAGCATAACGTTTTTGGGAAATGATTGCATTAATTTATAATTACGTAATAAATTATATAATCGAAATTCTTTTACAATCGTTTGAGTAGTGTCGACAACGCGTTGTGGTCAACGAGAAACACCACAGCCGGAAAAATTGTCTGATTTCGATATTTGGTCGTTCTGTACCCTCCGCAACAAGTTGAGGTAATTTTTTTGTTCATTGTGCGTTTTTTTATTTGTGCGTAACATATTTACTTGATACATTAAACATTATTTTACTTCTGCTCATTGTCCATCGTAGTTCTAAACAGAGGCAGAATGCTCTGTGCTGGAGTAAAACTCCCTAGTCGCCATTAAAAATTGTGGAACTGTTTTGAAACCGGCTGGTAATTAATTCCAGTATTAATTGCGTAGCATTTTAAAATTTAAAAAAGGTCGTTATTGTAGATATAACGAAAATGAATAATGTGAAAAGAAGAACGTATAACTTTTCACAACGAGAAAAAGAAATTTTAATATCTTTGGGGAACAAACATTTTCATGTGTTGGAAAATAAAAAACGAATGCAGTTTACAAAAAACAGAAAGGCGATACTTAGGAAGTCCAGCAAGGTCATAACAATTTAACACTCTCCCTTTTTTTGTCTTTTTTATTTGGGGCCATTGCAGTGGATTGAGATTGTAATACAGCAATACTTGTTGCTACGTTGGACACAAATCTAGATACTGATGTAGTGCAAATATTCAGTTGCGTAGAATCTAAACTAACCAAAATAAATCAGGACAAGGGCTGGTTCCGATTGGTTCCGAAGTTGGCTTCAAAACTGTATTGTAGACATTCTAAATCTTTTTAAATTTGGTGTAATTAAGTTTATTAAAGAAATCATTGTATTTACACAAGTCTTCTTGGAGGAAGAGAGACCTCATTACTGATTGAATCTGAATGAGAAATGCCCAAGGTGTGAAAGTTAGCTCTATCGATTACTGTAAAAACGAATCCCCAAATTTTATTTAAAAAAAAAAAGTAAAACCCGACAAAACTTAAACTAATAAAGAATATGTTTAAAGAAAACAATTTTACTGGATTAGAATCAATGAATAAATTTCTCACAGCTCATAGTCCATCTGACAAAGCGTCAGACGGTTTAACCAATAACATGGGTTGGTGAATATCGAAATTTAATTTAACAGTTAAACATGCAAACAATGTTATCAGGGTGTTTGTTGCAAATGTTAGTTTTTCCTTATAAGTTCCAAAACTATTGGTTTAACATTTGTTTTCAAAACAGGTCACTGTCAAATATTAAAATTATATAACCATAATCAAACAAATAATGAAATTTCTTTCAATGAAATATTGTTTTATTATAGTTATGATTCGAAAATGTTTTTATTAAATGGTAAAACGGCGTTAACACTAGGATTAGCGTCAGCTGCGATTTAAACGAAACCAATGTATAAAACTACAAGCCGCATTATTGATACATTTTAAAGCGAATCCATATTCGCGCGCGTTTGTTTTGTATTTACTTAAAACACAATGCCATTTTTAATTAAACGCAAGTCCGACCATTATTCATCCTTTTATTATAATTATTATCGTCGGCCAAATAACGCGGTGAAACGTTGAAAAGTCCGAACGTTAATGCGTAATAATTATTATTGCGTAGAGTACGATTACGACCGAAAGGACAAAATTTAATTACGCTCATTATTTAACCGTTGTTGCCGTTTCGACGACCGATTACCTTCTGAAACAATTCGACAATTGAAATATTATTGGTTAATTGGATATGGCGGGACGGTTGATGGAAGCTCTAGTTCATGTGTCTTGCTCGTGAATAACAAATTAATTTGCTTCGGTTATGCAATCCGCGTCGCATCAGGCTACGTTAAGGTGAGTTTATACGGGTCGATTTTTGCCTTGCGGCAAGACGATTGGAAACGCAAGCGACTCAGAATGTATTTTTTGAAAGTGATGACCAGAGCATGTGTTTTACGTGCTGGCATATTTTTTATCTTTGATTTAAGATCTTCAACTGATATGGAAAGATGCATTTCTCGAATAATAGACTTAAGAGCACAATTTTCCCTACAATCTGGTTCTCTGGGGTTCCATACGCAGGGGTACTATTTAAAGCATTCCAAAAAAGGTATGGGATCACTTTTATCCATGTTAATTCTTACATTTTCATGTACTTAGTAGAAAACACACCAGCTTTGACTTTCATGGGTCGAGAAATCGATTACAACTGAAGCATCTTCACAGTCGATTTTAGTCACCCGTCCCTTACGTTCTGTGATCTCTCGACAAAAGTAGAATGGTTCCCTACTTTGGTGGTTGCGAATTTAAGTCGCTTTTATTTAGTCGATTTAATATATTTACACGAACGATGTTCGCCGTACGGCACAATTGTGCGGCAAAAATCGACCCGTGTTTTAAAATAGGAAACACATTTATCTGCTCTATCTGTTAAAAAAATATATTTATCGACTAAAAGAAGCGGGGTTTGATCTATGGTCTGTCGGGTTTTACTTAATTTTTTTCATAACCAAAACAAGTTTTTTTTTTACAAAACTTCTATATTCCTCCTGCGCCGGTTTTTGCTGAGTCGAACTTGATGACGTTTCGCCAATCATCCTGTTGGCTTCTCCAGAGCTTGACTGAAAGTGACTCGTATTTTACTCTGTACCTGCTTATACATTGTTTGAGGGGGGGAACTTAATGAGGGGCATAAACACCGTCTCGGGTGACTGATTCCCATATTGGTGACAAGTAAAGACTTGAGTCGCGGTTAAGATTCTTAGGTTGTTTATAGATTTCTATAGACTCTCGGATTTTTCGTTGGTAGAAGAACTGATTACGAGCAAGAATTTTAGTTTTGTCGAATAAAATTTTATGTCCGGTTTCATGAGTGTGTTCGGCAACAGCTGATGGGTTTATTTGTCTTAGTCGTAAGGCCCATTCGTGTTCTTTGAGCCTAGTTGATGTTTTTCGTCCGGTCTCTCCAATGTATTCTTTGCCGCATATGCATGGAATGCTGTAAACTCCTGGCATCTCAAATGGAATTTTGTCTTTGACGGACCGAAGATGTTGAGAGACTTTTCGACAAGTGGTAAATCTGGTTTTGACGTCATACTTCTTTAGAACTTTTGATATGTGGTCAGTGGCCTCATTGTTATTGGAAGGTTGTGGTGAAGTATATTTTTTGATGAAACGCTTAATATCTTTTATGTGGAAATCATTATAGAGAAGAACAGATGTAAGGTGTTTTAATTCTGTATTCAGTGACTCCGGCTAAGATAGTTTTACGGCCCTGTAAACAAGAAAGTTGTTAACCGATGATTTTTGGGCCGGATGGTGATGTGACCATGCATTAAGATATCGGTCTGTGTGCGTAGGTTTTATGTAAACACAATGGCCCAATGTTAGGTCTGATTTTCTATTGATAAGAATATCTAAGAATGGAAGGTTATTATTAGTTTCCAACCCAATGGTAAAACGTATGTTAGGGTGTATGGAATTTAAATGTCTAAGAACTACTAGGGTTTCCTGACCATGACGCCAAATAACAAAGTATCATCGACATAGCGTTTCCATAATTTTGGTTTTAGATGAAAGTTGGATAGTTAGTTAGTAGTTAGTTTCGACGTAGAATCTTTATCAGAGTTCCTATTGCTCAAACTCTCGACATCATTTCAGATATATTAAAGTCCGAGAGTATGGAACCAAACCTTCTCACCTTAATTGAAAAATGCTTGTCGGGAACATATTTTTCTTACAACGGTTAAATTTTTGAACAAACGTCGGCAACAGCTCAGGGTTTTCCACTATCACCAGTCATCGCGAATATATTTATGGAAGCCTTTGAGAAGAAAGCTCTCGACACCCGAGTCAAAAATGATGAAAAGATACATCTTTAACATTTTTAAAATTAATAAAGAATTCTAAGAAACTATTG